CTTCCTGCTACGATCCGTTTTGCTCTCCTCTCTGATGTCAAGACGACTCTCTGTACAACGATGTAACTCTCCCATCAGAAGTCCAGCAATTACCATCTGCTGTTGAATGTCCATAATCCTGTAACATCATTTATTATGTTTTATTATGTATCCGTAACAAAGAATAAACCATAAGTCAGATTGCGTATTACTACTTTTCAATAATATAGACATATATTATTGTGGCGAGCATTTGGCCCAAGACTATATATACACACACAACAGACGTATATATATCAATCAACTGAAGACAAGAAGAAATTAAGAAGATTCTACATTAACACCATTCCAAGTTACATTTTACACTGCCATTTAAAGATTCTTCACCAGCAAAACAATGGACCTTAGACCTAGGCTATGAGATTTCCAGACTCATTGGGACTCAATAATTGCAACGCCCAAACAAATTATCAAATCTGCTCCACTTCTGGAACAGCATAAGAAAATGATGTACATGTGGTATATGGTGCCAGAGAGACATAATAGTATTTTCCTTGCAACTTCCCCAATGTGCTGGAGATGTAACATCCACAAAGTCACAGTACTACATTTATGATGGCACTGTGAACAGATTGCCATTTTTTCTAGAAATCACTGCGTGTTCCTTTACAACCGAATACAATTCTTCTATTGGACATGCCAATAAATTTTTCCAGAGAGGCGCAATAACTAATCTCTCATATTCTGCTGACGGCCCACCGCTTAATAGCGAGAGCTTGGAAATCTCTGTTAGCTCCCTCCGTCCCTAGCCTACTACAAGAAATAGATAAATAAAAAAAGTTATATGAGACTCACTTCTACACCATTTTCCCCCCCATCCCAGACCACTGTTTGTGCTTGGTAGCTGTGGAACGCATGGAGATCGACACCCTACACCTTTAAATTTACAACAAGTTAAAGAATGCATCATGATACACTATGTTAACAGTTTATCGGGAATAAAAAAAAAAAAAAAGAAGCTTCTTCCTGTAACTTAAGGTAATTTACTGTTTGGCAAATTCTATTATGGGTAGCCGAAACTTTATAGTTACCAAGATGTAAATGTATAAACAAGAGATGCTGCCTTTGAACCTACCAGAGTGAATATGTAATAAAACCACTGTACCCGACATTCCTCCCTCCCCACCTTTCTCCTTTCTGTACCCACCTACTTTTGTCAAAACTCAAATAAACTCAATTTACAAAAGATCAAAGACACTGACGCAATCCTCCCCAAGAAGGGACACCATACCCTGGGAAAGACTTCTTCATGAAAGATCCCCAGTAAAAAGGCATAGGGCAGCTAGAAAGCAGGGATTGAAATCCCAGGTAGGAGACACAGTTCCCAATGGAGCTATCACACAATATTTTATTTCCCAGATATATCCATGGCAGTACTACAGATGGGTATTGCTCCTCCTACTCCGCAATTGGACAGGAACCACCTCCTAATTGAATAATAAAAGATAAGACTCCCTCCTCTCAGTGTTTTTTCCTGTCCACGTCCCAAGGACATAGGATGTTTCACCTCTTTTTTTTTTTTTTTGTAGCTTACTCGGGTCTAATTGTAACCCAAGTCCATGGGGAGTTCAGCCTCAGGACATGGCGCCTCACCAAGTGCAACCACCTGGATGATTCTCCCCTCAGCGACCGGGGAGCTATGCTGCAGTGACCCTGTAGTTAGAAGCTGGATGTGCCAGATCCATTGGGGTGATAATTCCCGAGTAAGGGTACACCTATCTGCTGTACAGTCCTGGGGTTCCTTGGCTCTCCCATTATCTGTGACTGTTCTGGATCCTGGTCAGTCTCTAGATCAAATTTTAAGTCCAGAGGAATTTCTTGTAGTTTTCTCCAAATGCTGGGGGGACTCCTTCCTTCTTTTAAGCCTTTTTCTAATTTTGCAAGAAGACAGAGTCATTCTCCATACTATTCCTGCATTTCATCCTAAAGTAGTATCCTCATTCCATATGAATCAGGACATTATCTTAGGAAGAAGAGAAATGTCATTGTCTAGATCTGGTTTGTTGTTTGTCTACTTACCTGAACCATACTTCTGAAATAAGAAAATCATCTAACTTATTCATCAGTTACAAGAGGGATCAAGCTGCCTCTTCTTGCATTGGCCGATGGATAATCTCAGCCATTTATCAGGCTTACAAAGAAGCTTCTGGTGTTCCAGTCACATCAGGTCTTCCAGCTCATTCCACAAGATCATTGGCCTCTTCATGGGCAGCTGCAGCTAACATTTCTCCAGACCGCATTTGTTCAGCAGCAATATGGTCCTCATTTAATACCTTTATTCATCACTATCGGCTGGATGTGGCCAGGTCTTCTACCTCTGAATTTGGTAGAAGTGTCCTTTCTACTGCCTTACAATTAATTTGTAAATAAAGAGTTTTTCCTTTGAAGTAAATTTGACTTTTGGTTTTCTTTCCCTCCGTTGTACCTTTCAGCTTGGGAATAACCTGTCTGTAGTGCTGCCATAGATATATCTAGCAAAACAGAAAATTTACACAATACTCACCGATATTTTTGTTTCCCGATATGAGCCATGGCAGCACTATGGTCCCACCCTTTTAAAAAAAAATGTGTTTGTAGTTTTTAACTAAGACTGGGGGACAGTGGAGTGAGTCTCCCTTTTATTATTTAATTAGGAGGTGGTTCCTGTCCAATTGAGGAGTAGGAGAAACTATACCCATCTGTAGTGCTGCCACGACCTATATCTGGGAAACGAAAATGTCGGTGAGTATGCTGTAAATTTTCTGTTTTCCACTCAGGACTAGCCACTGGTGACTTGCCCTTAAGCATGTGGTGAAAAGCATTAAATACAAGCATACATAACACTGGAGATTGTGTCCAATATGGACGTAATTAATATAAGTCATCTTAGAGGACTCATTCCAAGCTGGCTAATGACACTGCCAGAGATGGAGTTACACTACATTTAAGAGTGGTTCCTACAATGTGACTAGAGACCCCGACAGACAGGAATTCAAACTTATTTTCATGGTGGAGGCCAAAAAGGCAAATTCTTCATAACGGCTACATTTACTTTTCAGATAACGAGCCTACTCATAAAGCATGTGTAGTTACGAGACTTGAAGACACCAAGGGAATGGCCTCTAGATGCGTTCTCTTGATATCAGACACTCGGTATAGATTGGGGTAGATATTAGATAACCTTTATCACTCCAAATGTTGTGGACTACATCTCCCATAATGCTCTTACAGCCATAATGCTGGCAAAACTGAAGGAGCGACCACAGCATCCAGAGAACCGAAGGCTGCCTACCCCTATTAAGACTCAATTCCGGTTGTTTGACTGGGGAGAAGGGGCACTATTTTCATAGAGTGTTATCTTAAAATAAATACATTAAATTGGAAGCATAGCGGATTGAATCCATCCTCGGGTGTTGAATGTAATGACCTCCATTACTTTCCTATTTATATGTCTGTATTTAAAATAAACAATATAAGAGAGCGCAATAAGCCAATAATAATAATAATAATAATAATAATAATAATAATAATAATAATACTCAATAGTACTAAATGAGTACTAGAAAGCCGTTAGATACAATAAAACCTTCCTAAGTTTTAACATTTAGTACATAAAACAAATAGTGCTGTGTGTTTTTTTTTTTTTTTTTACATGTCTGTATTTGTTGCCGTCTCTAGATATAAAATGGTCAGAATTGTAGCAACTGACATTTAATGTGGATAAGTGCAAGATAATGCATCTTGGACGTAAAAACCCAAGGGCAGAGTACAGAATATTTGATAGAGTCCTAACCTCAACATATGAGGAAAGGGATTTAGGGGTGATTATTTCTGATGATTTAAAGGTAGGCAGACAATATAATAGAGCAGCAGGAAATGTTAGCAGAATGTTTGCTTGTATAGGGAGAGGTATTAGCAGTAGAAAGAGGGAAGTGCTCATGCCATTGTACAGAACACTGGTGAGACCTCACTTGGAGTATTGTACACAGTACTGGAGACCGTATCTTCAGAAGGATATTGATACCTTAGAGAGGGTTCAGAGAAGGGCTACTAAACTGGTTCATGGATTGCGGGATAAAACTTACCAGGAAAGGTTAAAGGATCTTAACATGTATAGCTTGGAGGAAAGACGAGACAGGGGGGATATGATAGAAACATTTAAATATATAAAGGGAATCAACACAGTAAAGGAGGAGACTATATTTAAAGAAGAAAAACTACCACAACAAGAGGACATAGTCTTAAATTAGAGGGACAAAGGTTTAAAAATAATATCAGGAAGTATTACTTTACTGAGAGGGTAGTGGATGCATGGAATAGCCTTCCAGCTGCAGTGGTAGAGGTTAACACAGTAAAGGAGTTTAAGCATGCGTGGGATAGGCATAAGGCTATCCTAACTATAAGATAAGGCCAGGGACTAATGAAAGTATTTAGAAAATTGGGCAGACTAGATGGGCCGAATGGTTCTTATCTGCCGTCACATTCTATGTTTCTATGTTACAACACTGCAGACTATGTTGGTGCCATAAGATGGAGAATAATAATAATAATAACTGCACTCAGTACCTGTCCCAGCAGCTTCCAGCGAGCTTTCGCGACCTGTGCGGTGTTTTTGCCCGGTGTAACATCCATCCCGCCCCTCTCCATGTCTCCGGGTACCCCCTCTAGCCGGCTCTGTGAGACTCTCGCCGGCTCTCACATGCACCTGTCACTCGCTGCCCGGCAGCACTTCCGTAAACAACCGCCACGCCACGCCCCCCACAGGCTTCCCAGTAACCAATGGGCAGCCGCTGCCTGCGCTGACCGCTGCCCGCGCGCCGCGCTTCCAAACGCTCGAAATCACTCGGCGCGCGGCTGGTATACAAAGTAACTATGGTCCCCACCCACCTGCAAGTGCGCGCTCGGAGTTAAGCGGGAAGCCATTTTGCCGGCGATCAAAACACATTCACTTTGAACGCACGGACGTCACCAAAATGGCTCCTGTCAAGGGGACAGCTTAGAAGCGGAGTGCTCTGCTCCCAGCTGTTGGCGTCAGAGTCCTGCGACCAGTCGCCTGCTCACATGTTGGCTTCTGAGCAGTTCAGAGCCGCGTGCCTGGTGGCAGTGTGAATGTGGTGATTTGATGGATAATAGCTCACATGCCAGTATCTGGCTCTGCGTGTTAAATACTGAATTCTGAGAGCTCACCCCTGTCATTATGGGGGTCATAAAAACATTAGCATTATTTATTTACAGAAGTACCATGCAGACTAAGACTGTCACCCACCCTCTGTTTACCTCTCCCTGGAGGTATCATAATATACTCACAGGCTGCTCCACACAGGCAAGGTACAGCTTGTTCAGAGGATTCAGCTCCTGGCAAGTATGAATATTTCTCAGTTATTTCGTTTGTATGGGAATTTATTAACAGGGTTATTGACCAAATTGAGAAATCAAAGTGAATTTCAAATGTAAGGCCAAAATGCCTGAACTGGGAAAAAATAAAAATATCTTTTTTAGTATAGCAATGGTTTGGCTATTTGGACATTAAATTTGAAATTCACTTTCAATTCACTTCGACTCCTCGCTTCATTGAATAACTCTGTAACTCACCTCCGAAATGTAGGGAATTGAAAACCAAAGTAGTTGACGTGCATGCACAAAATGTTATTAAAACTGTTAACGTAACTACCTTAGTTTTGGCATAAATGGTACAGCCACAGGTTTTGACAAATCACTTTGAAAGCAATCAAATAAAACATAAATGCTGCAGATTGATAATAAAGTGTAAAAGTGCTCAGAATCGCTCAGGTTTTTGATAATAGTTGTCAGGTTCTAGGCACAAATGAGTGCCTCGTGTCAGACAAAAGTGCATCTGCCCTCCCCAGACAGCCAGGAAAAAATATCAGATTCTCTCAAATAAATTATTAGGGCAAAGGTCTTTAAAAATATTGAGAATAAATTAAAATACTGAGGCCACTCGTAAGCCAGTTAAGTGGTGCTCAAAAGAAAACCAAGAGAAAAACATAAATATCTCCCCCACAGTTTACAAACAGTCGGAACAAACTGTATGTTCAGTCTTCTCTATACTCTAAGCAGCAAAACAACTTGGCTCAATGATGCAGTTTTAGTGCTTCGAATAGATTGTGCCCTCTGGCAGACAGCCACTAGAGGTGGAGTTAACCTTGCCAGGTATTTATTCCAGGGTAGAGGGACTTGGGACACTGCACCCACACCAATTCATACATAAAGTTGTGAGCCTAATGTACTAGAAAAAATTCTCTGGACAGTAATAGGGGGGTAACCCTAATTTTTAGCAAAACACAAACATAGAGAGGAATAACAAAAAGAAAGGGTGCGCCTTAAGAAAATAATATTATTGTAATGGTATATGTAGTATAGGCAGCACACCTATAGATAGAGAGGAATACTGATCCTGATAATAGGTAGTAGGTGAATAAACCGTAACTGTTATTGCTTTATCATACTAAAATAGATCACACAAAATCCAAAATGCTATATACAAAAATAGATAAAGAAATAAATTAAGTGGAAAGAAAAATATATAGAGTCAAAAATATAGAAAAGATAGGGATAGATTCCCTTTATCTCCATCAGTGAACAGTAAGAGCAGCGCACTTACTGTTCACCGGTCATGCTCTGAACTGTACTCAACTTGTAGTGATGCGCTGATGGTCTGATTCCTGCACAATTTAAAGGGACACTCCAGGAACCCAGACCACTTCTGCCCATTGGAGTGGTCTGGGTGACAACTCCATCACCCTTAATCCTGTAAGTGTAATTATTGCAGTTTTTATAAACTGCAATAATTACCTTGCAGGGTTAAGTTCTCCTCTAGTGGCTGTGTATCAGACAGCCACTAAAGGATGTCAGTATATTTATATCGGCAGACATTTTGTGCTAAGACAGAAATTTAAAAGTATATATTGCCAGTCACACTCAGAACATAGGTGACTCCTGTGACGGTAGTATAAGGTATCACCGTCAAGCATTCCCTTCTTCCCATAAAAGAAAGTCACCCAATATTCCACAAGTAGAAATATACCTGGAATCGCCGAATAGTCCACACGTGAGCCAAAGCTTAATGCTGGAACAAGACTTTACTGGAAGTAACAACAACAGGTATTCAAGCTACAGTTTCTTTTAAGCCCTGCTCCCATGCAGGGGAGGGACACACACGTTATCTACAGTAGCCAATAAAACAGAGGTTACAGCCCACACAAAATCCTCCCCTCTGCCTGTGATTCAATTATCTTATACAATAGAAGATTCAATTATCACAGGTAGGAAAAATACAGTTTTTTCAGCATATTCATAACTTCTAAAATATACATCACATTCACATAAAAATTATATATTCACATTCAGGGAATCAACATATCAAAAAATGGCATGAATCAGACCAAGGGTTCAGAAGTTAGTAAAGTATCTTTTGGGGCCTGGCTGGCAGCATGGCTATCTGGCCTAAACCGGTTTTAAAGAGCCCTCTATCCTGGAGACAATGGGGAAAATAATCCAATTATCCAGGGATAGAGGCAGACTCCATTGAGCACATGTTCCCAGTAAAACACAAAAGGATACAAAAATACATAACTCCTATCATACTGAATTGAACGGGCCAAATCTCCCAGGGTTTATAGTCACAGGGCAAGAGGCGGGCAAGCAGTCCTCTCCAGGCACAAGTGGCGAAGGGCACTTCGTCACAGTAGTAAATCCATTAATAAAGAAGCAAGGAGGGAAAGTATCGAATGAATGGAGGGGGATTCTTCACAACTCCATATTGGAATTTCCAGGCTAAGAAAGACACAAAATTTCTCTCTGTAACTCTATTCATTCAAGTCTGAGCTAAGGAATGTGTTATGTAAACAAGATAAGGCATGGTGTCTCACAAGGATGGGGGAAGGAATACTAACCTAAAGACAAATATATATTCTATCCACTTATAACATACTATTTTATATTATCACATATAATGATTATCATGTTAATAATATAGACTATTGATGAAGAAATATCATATTATTAATAATATTAGTGGATTATAAATAATCTCACACACAGCTTCACACAAGAAGACCAGAAAGCCAGACACCAATGACAGATAACACTTAGTAATTAATTTTTACTTTCTAAAATGGAATCTTACAACGTCCTATTGTAAGTAAAAGGGTGAAATTAAAGGACCACTATAGTGCCAGGAAAACATACTCGTTTTCCTGGCACTATAGTGCCCTGAGGGTGCCCCCACCCTCAGGGACCCCCTCCCGCCCGGCTCTGGAAAGGGGTTTAATCTTACCTTTTTCCAGCGCTGGGCGGAGAGCTCTCCTCCTTCTCTCCTCCTCCGTTCTGCCCCGTCGGCTGAATGCGCACGCGCGGCAAGAGCTGCGCGCGCATTCAGCCGGTCGCATAGGAAAGCATTTACAATGCTTTCCTATGGACGCTGGCGTGCTCTCACTGTGAAAATCACAGTGAGAAGCACGCAAGCGCCTCTAGCGGCTGTCAATGAGACAGCCTCTAGAGGCTTTGGGGGAAGGCTTAACCCATTAATAAACATAGTTTCTCTAAAACTGCTATGTTTATTAAAAAATGGGTTAACCCTAGCTGGATCTGGCACCCAGACCACTTCATTAAGCTGAAGTGGTCTGGGTGCCTAGAGTGGTCCTTTAAGGTTAGGAGGTGTCAATTCTAAATTACGATTGGAATTGCTGACGCTCTGTCCGGGAAAAAGCCTTTGAAATTGGCAGGAATTTAGATTTATAGTGGCCATATAGATAAGCCAAAATGACGTCAAAATCATCATCAATTTAAGTTAACCCATTCTGCATAGTGGCAAATGGACCTCATGACAAGAAATTTTGGTGATGTAATTGCGCCATCTACAGACAAAATCTAGATGATAGTCTGTAGGGAAGACACACCTACAGTTCCCTATTGGTCCTATCAATTAATGAGGTGCAGAGAGTTTGGCCCTTTAAAAAGTAAGGACAAGGGAAGAGAGGGACATTCAATGATTCATACATTCGGACATTTTTGGGACACTCATACTCTTTGAACCACACTCAAACTCTCTTTGAAACACTTGGACTATACTTAAGAAACTATCAACTCTCTCTTAAACATACCTGATTATTAATAATTTCTACTGCATTCAATCACAATCATACTTGCATACAAATTCCTGGGACCTATCTACACATCTGATAAGAATATCTACACATCTGAGAGAAAATCTACAACCTAACTGGTAATTATGCTGCTTTTATTTAATTAAATTAGATTAATTAAAATTTTACTAATAGCAGGAATATATATTTGGATACATCTCGGTCAGATTGTATCATGAAAATATTATTTTTTATATTTATCACCCCATAAATATCCTCACAAGGACTTCCGGCTTCTTAAAACACGATAATTATTTTAAACGACGCTGGACGTCCTCACGCTATGCATGAGGACCTCCAGCGTCACCGGGATCCCAAAAGGAAAGCATTGAATAATGCATTCCTATGGGGAGGCCTAATGCGTGCGCCCGCGGCTATTTCCGCACATTCGCATTAGGGATTCCCCCGCCGGCGGGGGATGGGCGTGGGCAGAGCCTGACCCAGCGCCAAGGGACATTGGCGCTGAATTCAGGTAAGTCACTGAAGGGGGTTTAAAGGACCACTATAGGCACCCAGACCACTTCAGCTCAATGAAGTGGTCTGGGTGCCAGGTCCATCTAGGGTTAACCCTGCAGCTGTAAACACTGCTATGTTTACATTAGGGTTAATCCTGCCTCTAGTGGCTGTCTCATTGACAACCGCTAGAGGAGCTTCTGCGCTTCTCACTTTGAAAATCACAGTGAGATGACGCTGACGTCCATAGGAAAGCATTGAGAAATGCTTTCCTATGGACTGATTGAATGTGCGCGCGGATTTCCGCGCATTCGCATTCGGTGGATGACGTCGAGGTTGGAGAGTCCCCAGTGCCAAGGGAGCCCGGCACTGGAAAAAGGTAAGAATTTAACCCATTCCTCCCCCTTCAGCCCGGCGGGAGTGGGACCATGAGGGTGGGGGGGACCCAAAGACCCTTTAGAGCCAGGAAAACGAGTTTGTTTTCCTGGCACTATAGTGGTCCTTTAAAGGACCACTATAGTGCCCTGAGGGTGCCCCCACCCTCAGGGTCCCCCTCCCGCCCGGCTCTGGAAGCGGGAAAGGGGTAAGAACTTACCTTTTTCCAGCGCTGGGCGGAGAGCTCTCCTCCTCCGATCCTCCTTCTCTCTTCCCCGTCGGCTGAATGCGCACGCACGGCCGTGCGTGCATTCAGCTGGTCACATAGGAAAGCATTCATAATTCATAATGCTTTCCTATGGACGCTGGCGTGCTCTCACTGTGAAAATCACAGTGAGAAGCACGCAAGCGCCTCTAGCGGCTTTCAATGAGACAGCCACTAGAGGAAATAGGGGAAGGCTTAATCCATTCACAAACATAGCAGTTTCTCTGAAACTGCTATGTTTATGAAAAAATGGGTTAACCCTAGCTGGACCTGGCACCCAGACCACTTAGTTAAGCTGAAGTGGTCTGGGTGCCTACAGTGGTCCTTTAACCCCTTCAGCAATAATGGGGGATGGGAGAGAGAGGGGCACTGCAAGAGGATGTCTAACTACAAGCTGCTGTCAGTTCCGCTGATAGCACTAGATAGCTAGCTAGATTAGTCTTTATCCACGACAGTATATGTGCCCTCGAAGGCACACACTAGCTACAGGCTTACCTGGTGATTGTTCTACCTGATCTGTGTCAAATCAACTATCTAGTATTTCAGTAAAGTTGCAGCCTTTCACTAGATCTCTTTTTAGTTAATCTTATTTTTGAAAATTTAGTTGATATGCCCTCTCTTCTTGTTGTGGCATACAATTCTAGATAGGTTGTCTCTGTTATGTTGCAAGATTTCACCTTCAAGGGATATTGGAGACAAGTATTGTCACTTTAGGCATTGCTTTGAGACTTGTTGGCTGTTTTTACATACACTGCTTTCAGCATGATGCTATTACTGAGATGGTTCAGATAGCAAAGTGCTACGTTGTATCTTACTTCTGTTAACACCTTGGATAGCACTCTGATACATTGTATAACATTCCTGTATACAGCTCATAGTGTACTGTTGTTCACTGAGTGGATCTATCTATTCTATATTTTTGTCTCTATATATTTTCTTTCCACTTAGTTTATTTGTTTATATATTTTTTGTATGTAGCATTTTGGATTTTGTGTGATCTATTTTAATATGATAAAGCAATAAAAGTTAAATTTTCTTCACCAACTACCTATAATCTGGATCAGTATTCATCTCTCTGTTTTTGTACTGCACCCAGACTACTTCAGTGATCTGAAGTCGTCTGGGTACCTATAGTGTCCCTTTAAGTCACTTAGCCACACCTCCGTCTCGCACAACCTCACTGGAAAAAGTGTGTCTCATTGTCAATACCATCTTACAGCACAATGTGTTTACTGTAGAAGTTCGTATCGTCTGCAGAGATGTCAGAAGGTGACAGATCCACTTAAAACATTTCTAAACTGTAATTCCATCATTATTTAATACTTGCCAGGTCATTTTATGTGCATTTACCATTTTGTAATAGTTTTTGACGTTATGTTTTATTTCCCACATTGATAAGCATCTGTAGGTCTGGAAATTACATATGTAATTTGCAGGAATTAGCTGATCATAATGGAGGTATCAGAGGTTTAAAATGTATTATTGATTATGAGGCTGACTGCAACTCTATTTCAATGTTTATTTTTGGAAAGAAAACATAGCAGCCCCCTTTAATCCCTTCAATACCAAAATCAAGTTTAAATGTTTTTATTTTCATGTACTTTGCTACATAAAAATTTGTCCATAAAGTCTCATTCATACTCTAGTTATGATTGCCAGCCTGTAGAGGAACACGTTTCCTTGCCTGAAGCCACTAGTCACTGATATAATGAATGAAAAGTTGCTGAAATTGTAAACTCACTCCTGCTTTCAAACAGTACAGAAAGTTTTACTGGGTGATAGCCAGGGGAGGGCTGGCAGCCTTAGGCCTGGGGGGCAAATCCAGTCAGTCAAGTGACCCATTGCACCACGGAATCAGCTCGCCATCCATACCACACTCTAACAAACACACACTCACTGACAGGCACACATACACTGACAGACAAACACACAAACTGTTACAGGCATACTGACTTACAGACAGACAGATATACTGACACACACATACAGGCATACTGGCTGACTCACACAGACAAACTGGCACACACACACACAAACATGCCCACCCAGTGGCCCTAAGTGTATGGGCCACCCAGTGGAACTCCTTAGTGTGTGCAATACCAGCACCGCGGGCCCATGGGGGGGAACATTTTTATACATATATATATATATATATATATATATATATATATTTCTGGAAATATATTGCTGGAAAGACAACCCTGGATTTAGGGCGGCTTGGGGGGAAATTGCCTCCCTGACCCCATCCCAGCCTGACCATGGTGAGAGCAGTCTTACAGTTGGAGGAGGGGGGTGTAAATGAACTCTACCATTTCACTATCAGTATTACATTAGCAGTCAAAAGATTGATAAAGTGTTATAGCAGTTTTAAATACCTTTGTTTTAAAATATATATATAATTTAACTGTATTTACTATATGTGGGGAATATGCTCAAATGCAGGTATTCTTTTTACATTCTGTTGCCATTTGTAGTAAACTGCACTGATAGTAATGCCTTTGGGGTCCTTACAAATATCTATAAGCAAAGTATTTGACTATTTTTATTTATATACTTTTGTCACACCTACTGTAATATGTGCACAAAATTGCTGTCTTATGATGTGTTTATATGCTAGCTATGCATCCCTTGCTCCAAGTAATTCTAATGCTAATATTTTTTATAATGTGGCTGTACCGCCGCCTCAGCTAAGATCCTCAGTATTGACAACCACAGCCAATCCATTGCTTCCTCATAAGGAAGCTTAGGAAGGCTAGTGCACATATGCGGCAAATCACTGCCCTCCGCCAATCAAATGCTCTGTATGAGCAGCATTGATTGAATAACCAAGTCAGGAAGTGATGTGTTGAACCCTGAAATGAAAACTTTGCTGTTTCTACAAAATAGCAATTTACAGGTTTAAAATGACAGGGGCAATGCATCCAGACCATTTCTGTGAGGTGAAGTGGTCTGGGTGCCTTTAGTGTTCGTTTAATACTCCCAATTGCTGACATTTTGCCAACAATAAACTTGTGGGAGTATCAATATGTTACTTAAAGGGATATGCTACGCACCAATCAGCCTATGAAAATTGAGTAATGTATGGTGCAAGGAATGCCCCTGTTTCTGCCTCTCTGAACACAGTTGTTTGTAACTTCAGAGATTTGCACAAACAATGTCCCTTCTCCCTCAGATGCCATTGGAGGAATTTGCACTTACTCCTGTTGTCCGAATGTAAGCTCACTTGGGGGACATATGCCATGCAAGCCCTACGTTCTTTCTCCAGCTCGAGTGCACTGGTGGTTGTTGACCTGGGAGAGTGCTATGCATAGTCCAATTCACTTAACTGTGAATGGAACTGCCGGTTGACTGATAGAAGCGGCGGTATGGCTGCAATAGGTTTATTTGGCAGTTCTGCTCATCCTATGACTGCTGGGGCCTGAACTACATATCACATTAACATATACTGGACACGGGTTTGTGGAATAAGATCAAAACCCATATACCTGAATGAGAAGCTTGTATTTAGTGCTGCCTGTAATGTAATTTAATTAAAAAATATACTCCTATTTGAAAATCTTACACTTTCTTAAGAACTGCAAGCTGTGCGTCATTTGCAATGAGCTCTCACCAAACAAGGATGTGATTGACACCTACTATATATTCTATAGCACAAATGAACGTTTCCCAAAAAGCATTTCTTTATGAGCACAATAAGGGTTGATGGGAGTTGAAGTTCAACTTAGCATTTTGCTGTGGAAAACAAAACGGAACTAAACCTGTTAAAGCTGTTTAAAAAAATAAAATAAACACTGCAGGACGGAAAGAGGGGGGGAAAGAAAGGAGCAAAACTAATAAGACCTAATCGAGAAAGAAAAAATAACTAAAGAAGATTAAGAAACAAACAAAGCACCCAGCATAGCTCACTCTAACCTAACCTACATATTGCACCAAACATGCGGGTGCCTGGATTACCTCCTCAGTGCTTCCTCTTTAAAGGCATAATTTAAAAAAAAAATTTTTTTTCCTTAATACTTTTTTATGTAGAACTTGGATATTCAATCAAACATTAGATTCAGTTATCATGACAACCTGATCAATACTAGTATGATATACCTATAGCTGATCACACAAACCCATGGAAACACAAACACATTCTGTTTCTTAAACTTCGTTCTATATTTAGTATTGCGTTTACATTGAGTACCCCTTGCAGTGCATGGCGCTAGCTGTGCTGTACTGCACAAAATCTTAGATACGTTTAAATCGCCCATCATTTCCTGTTGCTAGAGCAACAGGAGTTTTTAGAACATATTGCTCTCTTGTGTACTTCACAAGATGCAGCAATACCTACATAATGGAAGCTCCGCGGGACCCAATGTATATATTTTACACGTGAAATCTAAATAGGATGGTGTTTCTAAATAAAATAATAATTGTACAAATTACTATTATGAAAAGAATGGTGGCTACTAATTTTAATCAAAATCATTGTTTCACACACGTGTGAGCTATCCATGAAATGAGACTACACCTTTATCTCAACGAATGGTATTGAAACAATTCATGTCTGATTAGAAAGGATGAGAAATGTTAAAAGAATGATCATGCTGGCATGTGTAGACCATTTACTGGTTGTAGTCTTAGGTCTAAAGCTTTTTTTTTTTGTTGGGCATCCATCCAATCAAGATTGAAAAAATTATGCATATGTCCGTGGGCGTCCGCAGGATTTTTTCCGGGGGGGGGCATAATTGTAATGACATCCATGCTTGGCCCCTTTTTGACAGTGTCATGAAGGGGAGAGGCATAGTCATTTTCATATGAAGCCAGGGTGAATAGTGTTTTCACAATTATGGTGTCAGCAATACATGTTTGTATTTAATCAAATTAAAGTGACATTCTGGTCATCATAAAAACTTAATCTAAATGAAAATGCTATGATGCCAGTAGGCCTCTTTCCTTCAAGGAGTTAAATTGCTCTCAAATGGCTTAACCCCAAAGGCTTCCTCCAGCTCCAGATCTCCAGGTCGCTCAGTGGTATTCAACTTCTGAATTGGAGTGTTAGGAAGTGCAGATTGACATCAGGCATGGGTGCCGCTAATTGACTAGAGTGTTCAGCTGACGCTCTATGCCAATCGCTAGTTCCCATTTCATAAAAATGTTTTACTTTTTTATGAATGGGGAGCTACTGATTGGCTTAGAGTGCCAAATAAACAGAAAAATTCAGAGAAAATGCACAGATTCTGAGCACCATAGCTATTACATTAAGTTGAAGCAGTTTTTTGTTTAGTCTGTCCTTTAACTCTCAGCGACAATGTTTTCAACAATACCATAGTGGGCTTAGCTTCCAGACTCTACATTCATGAATTTAAACTCCCTATCTTGAACTCCATAACTTTGCCCATTTTTTCTGAGTGTGCCATAAGTAAAGAGTATTAATGATTGCATTGTAGCAGAAATAGGATGTGGGAGATTTTTTTTCCATTTACGGGAAGAAACTTAAAATTAAAATAAAGACAAAAAACAGTACCCCAGAAAATAGAATTGATTATGGTGGGTTTTCTCATTCCTCTAATTTTGTCTATATGTTAAAGGGACAGTCGAAGCATGAAAAACAATACATCTTAAAGTAGTGGTTTTTGTGTATAGATGCGGTCTCTTTTCTCTGGTAATGTCTGTGAACACTGGCAGCATTACTCCGTAAAGGGGCACTATAGTCGCCAGACTAACTACAACTTATTGTACTTGTTCTGGTGAGTATAGTCAGACCCTGTAGGCTCTTTTACATTACAGCCTAGGGACACTTTCAGTTGCCAGTCCTCCTATCGCTACTAGAGGTGCTTCCATGATGTGCAGCACTGACATTCAGTGTTTCCACCTTTGCACACTGAACTTTCCTCATAGAGATGCATTGATTCAATACATCTCTATGAGGAGATGCGGATTGGCCAGGATGGTGTTTGGCCCCGCCCTCTGCCCACCTTCTTGGCAATCTCAACCAATCCATTGCTTTCCTATAGGAAAACATTGTGATTGGTTCAGATCATCACTTCTGATGATGCCAGCCAAGGGCGCAGATCGTGGGCAGAGCCAGCACCGACTGGAATAAAGGTAAGATTTGACTATATTTAGAGTGGACAATAGGGGGGGCTAGACAGTAATTTTAACACTATAGAGTCAGGAATACATGTTCCTTTAAGATCATAACATTTTTTCGAAGGAAAGGGGGACCATGAATCCAAAAACATCAGGAATACATCTAACTTTAAAAGTAATTAAGAGTGTTCCTTTGAAAAGTAATATTGTTTATTGCTAGAAAATGTCCGTGCAATGTAAAGATATACGTAGCTGTGTATGTTTGTCATCCTCTGATCTATAAATAAACAGCCATCATTGTACATAATCACAGTTAGAAATCCTGTTTTTTTAAAAAGGGTCTTCTAGAATGGGAACGAAAACATTGGCAAAAATTGTCTGGGAAATACCGTCCTTTATCAGCGGCGTTGAAAAAGCAATTAAACATAATGCACGAAAAGTACCCTAACAGATCAGAAAGAGATGTGGTGAGTAAGGAATGATTTTAACAGACTGTAACATTTTTAAAACGGACATAATCATAGATCTATTTAAGTTGCTTCTGCTTAACTGCTGTTATCTGTGTAGTGTAATAACAGTACGAATTGTTATTGATACATTCTATGTGACAAAACATTATGTACAGAGTGTGTGTACAGTTGCAATCAAAATTATTCATTGAAAATCAGGGAAAATTTACAGACTTCAGCTGTTTGCAATGGACAAATCAAACAAAAGCATTTGAAATAGCTCCACACAACGAATGCTTCTAGTGGTTTCCCCAAATTCAACTAAAAATGCAACTAATAATGATTTCTCCAGTCTCAAAAATATTCAACCCCTTCATGGCAAGCATCTTTAGTACTTAGTAGAGCCTCGTTTTGCTGTTATGACCTGCTGCAAACGAGATGCATAGCCAGACACCAGCTTCTGGCAGCGTTCCTGAGGAATCTTTGCCCATTGTTCATGAGCAATGGCCTCCATTTCAGTAATATTCTTGGGTTTGCATGTTGCAACCACCTTCTTCAAATCCCACCAGAGATTTTCTTTGGGGTTCAAGTCTGGTGACTGTGATGGCCTCTGTAGAATTGTCCATGACATTTTCTGCAGCTAAGCCATAGTGGAATCTGAGGTATGTTTGGGATTATTATTTTGTTGAAACGTCCAATGCCATTCAGTAAATCCATGTTGCCTTCCAGACTCTGCAGGTTTCCAGTACCAGAGCATGCAAAGCAGCCCCAAAGCATCACCAAGCCACCTCCATGCTTAATTGTAGGCAGAGTGATCTTTTCAGCATACAGGTGATACTCGAAAAATTAGAATATCGTGCAAAAGTTAATTTATTTCAGTAATGCAGCGTAAAAGGGGGAACTAATATGAGAGAGACTCATTACATGCAAAGCAAGATAGTTCAACCCGTGATTTGTCATAAGTACGATGATTATGGCTTACTGCTCATGAAAACCCCAAATCCACAATCTCAGTAAATTAGAATATTGTGAAAAGGTGCAAAATTCTAGGCTCACAGTGTCCCACTCTAATCAGCTAAGTAAGCCATAACACCTGCAAAGGGTTCTGAGTAGAGATGTCGCGAACCGTCCATGAACTTCTCGCGAACGGTTCGCCGCGAACTGTTCGTGGCGAACTCTGGTCAGCTGACACATCCCGGCCAATCTCCAGCAGACCCTCCCTCCCAGACCCTCCTACTTCCTGGACAGCATGCATGTTGAAGCTGCCTTCAACATGGATGCTGTCCAGGAAGTAGGAGGGCCTGGGAGGGAGGGTCTGCTGGAGATTGGCCGGGATGTGTCAGCTGACCGGAGTTCACCGCGAAACCGTTCGCGAGAAGTTCGCGGATGGTTCGCGACATCTCTATTCCTGAGCCTTTAAATTGTCCCTCAGTCTGGTTCGGTAGGAATCACAATCATGGGGAAGACTGTTGACCTTAAAGTTGTGCAGAAAACCATCATTGACGCCCTCCATAAGGAGGGAAAGCCTCAAAAGATAATTTCGAAGGAAGTTGGATGTTCCCAAAGTGCTGTATTAAAGCACATTAATAGAAAGTTATGTGGAAGGGAAAAGTGTGGAAGAAAAAGGTGCACAAGCAGCAGGGATGACCGCAGCCTGGAGAGGATTGTCAGGAAAAGGCCATTCAAAAGTGTTGGGGACTTTCACAAGGAGTGGACTGAGGCTGGAGTCAGTGCTTCAAGAGCCACCACACACAGACGGATCCTGGACATGGGCTTCAGATGTCGTATTCCTCTTGTCAAACCGCTCCTGAACAACAAACAACGTCAGAAGCGTCTTACCTGGGCTAAAGAAAAACAGACCTGGTTTGTTGCTCAGTGGTCCAAAGTTCTCTTTTCTGATGAGAGCAAATTTTGTATCTCATTTGGAAACCAAGGACCCAGAGTCTGGAGGAAGAATGGAGAGGCACACACTGCAAGATGCTTGAAGTCCAGTGTGAAGTTTCCAGTCTGTGTTGATTTGGGGAGCCATGTCATCTGCTGGTGTTGGTCCACTGTGCTTCATTAAGTCCTGGGTCAACACAGCCGTCTACCAGGAGATTTTGGAGCACTTCATGCTTCCTTCCACAGACAAGCTTTATGGGGATGCTGACTTCATTTTCCAGCAGGACTTGGCACCTGCCCACACTGCCAAAAGAACCAAAGCCTGGTTCAGTGACCGTGGGATTACTGTGCTTGATTGGCCAGCAAACTCGCCTGACCTAAACCTGAAAGAGGCTGGGGCATTGCCAAGAGAAAGATGAAAGACATGAGACCGAACAATGCAGAAGAGCTGAAGGCCACTATTGAAGCATCCTGGTCTTCCATAACACCTCAGCAGTGCCACAGGCTGATAGCTTCCATGCCACGCCGCATTGAGGCAGTAATTGCTGCAAAAGGGGCCCAAATAAAGTACTGAGTCCATATGCATGCTTATACTTTTCAGAGTTCCGATATTGTTCTATGTACACTCCTTGTTTTATTGATTGCATGTAATATTCTAATTTACTGAGATTGTGGATTTGGGGTTTTTTATGAGCTGTAAGCCATAATCATCACACTTATGACAAATCACGGCTTGAACTATCTTGCTTTGCATGTAATGCGTCTATGTCATATATTAGTTTCCCCCTTTACCTTGCATTACTGAAATAAATGAACTTTTGCACGATATTCTAATTTTTTCGAGTATCACCTGTATGCTTCATTTTTCTTCCTCCAGACATACTGCTGATCCATTTGGCTGAAAAGTTCCAGTTTTATTTTATCGCTCCCAAGAACAGAATCCCAATACTTATGTGGCTAATTTATATTATTTTGAGCATTTTGGAGCTGACTTTTCTTGTGCTTTTGGGTTAATAGTGGTGAATGTCTTGGATTTCTGTCATGGAAATCTTCTGCTTTTAGTACGCACCCTACTGCGCTCAATGAAACCACAGTGCCTGTTGCCACCAATTCTTGCTGCAGGTCTTTTGTACTTTCTCAGAAATCTGAGTAACCACTGTTCCTTTAGCTTTGAACTTGTGAACTATGCTTCCAACGGTATCTCTAGGAACATTCAGTGCCTTCTCTATCTTTTTGTATCCTGTTCCTTATTTGTGAAGGGCCATGATCTTTTCTCTTAGCTTTGTGACCCATTCTTTTGTCTTAGCCACTCAAAAAAAAAAACCTTGCCAGTTCATGTATTTCGAGTGTTCAAACTAATGAAGAAGTGTGCTTGAGACTGGCTTGGAAAGAAACGTATATTTCTCAAGGCAGTTTAATGAATGGTGAGTGACTGACTGGCTGAGATTGCCAGCTGAACGCTCTCGACCAATCAGCGGTGCCCCTGACCAACAGCACCCCGCGCTTTCTGAATCTGAAAATTCAGAAGTTGGATGCCGGCAGGGGTGGAGCTGAGAACGGCACTGGAGGCAACTTCAGGGGGTACGAGTGCTTTCAAGGGACTCCTGGTACCATAACAACTTAATTTAGATGAAGTTGTGTTGGTGCCTGGAGTGTTCCTTTAAGAACCAGTATGGAACAATAAAAATTAATTTTTCTCTAAAAACTGCCACTACAGGAGAAAGAATCTTTGTGAAGATTCTTGGAGCAGATGTAAGGCCAAAAGGAAGAGCCAAAAACTGGAAATGCTAAATTATTCTGACATTTGTTTATGGCAAATCTTTAAAATCTTCTGGCTGTCTGAGTAATATGTGGAGATAAGCATCTTTCAGGTCTAGAGCAGCCATAACACCCTCTTTTTGAAGGATCTGAGTTACTGACAAAAGCGTTTCCATTATGAATCTCTGATGGTGAATGCATTGGCTGAGTCTCAGGAGAGGGCTGGCAGCCTCAGGCCTAAAGGGCAAATCCAGTCAGTGGCCCATTGCACCCCCAAATCAGTTCACTATCCATGCCCACCTTTTCCTGGTTCTATAACGGATATTGATGTTATGCTAATCAGTAGCTCATTTGCGGCTCCGACTTTCAATGCTGTTAGAGCACAGGCTGAAAATCTCTGAGCCTGTACTCTGACTCACTAACTGAGCGCCTGGACCACAAGGGAGAGGATATGATCTGACTGCACCTATTGCTGGTGCGCACCAATGGACCACCAGGGAATCATTGAAATTAAATATGGTGGTGTCCCCAACTTGTGAGCTGTGTTGGCCGCCGGGCGCCTCTGTTGTCATGGCACCCTACGTGACTGCACAGCTTGCACACCTCAAAGGCTGGCCTTGCTGACAGACACACTGGCACTCACTCTCAATAACACACACAGACAAACACTCACTGACACACACTCACACACATTCACTGACAGACACTTACTTGACAGACACACTCACTGACACACATACTTACTGACAGACACCAGTGCCATCTTAACAACCTTATGGGCCTCCGGGCAAAGCAGTGCAGTGGGGCCCTGCCTACACAACTTACAGTAATAAAAACGTAAATTATAGATACAACGAAGATTATATTTATAAGTACCTCCAACAAATGCAATGCATACATACAATACATAGACACAGACTGCTGAATACAGTCACAGACTGCTGAATACACACACACGATGACTGCTGAATACACGCATACAGACTGATGAATAGATACACACACACACACATACTGATGAATAGACACACACAGACAGACTTCTGAGTACACACAGACAGACCGCTGAATACGAACACACACAAACATACACACAGAAGGCTGAATACATACACAGATCACTGAACACACACACTGCAGTGTGTGTGTACGAGTGCTGTGAGTGTGGGGTGCTGTGTGTGTGTGTGTGTGGAGTGCTGTGTGTGTTGGGTGCTGTGTGTGTGTGTTTGAGGGGTGCAGGTAGCAAATATTTTTTGTTTTTTTAATACTACTATACATTAAAGAGGCACTAAAGTCACCCAGACCACTTCAGCTCAATGGGTCTGGGTGCAATGTTCCTCAAATGCAGTTTCATAGCAGTTTCCTATGTTTAAATTGGGGTTAAGCCAGCCTCTAGTGGCTGTTTTCCGGACAGCCACTAGAGGCACATCTGCAACGCTGGAGGCATATTATGCCTCCATTGCGCAGAGCGTCCATAGGAAAGCATTCAAAAGTGCTTTCCTATTGACAGCTTGAATGCTCCACGCGGCACTTGCTGCGCATGTGCGCTCGGCAGAGGGAGCTGACGTCGGCGGGGGAGGAGAGGTCATCAGCGCTGAGGGAGCCCGGCGCTGGAATATGGTAAGCTGCTGAAGGGGGTTTAACCCCTTCACCGCCATGGGAGGAGGACCCTGAGGGTGGGGGCCCACTCAGGGCACTAAGGCACTAATAAAATCTATATGTCCACCCACCCTTCTTCTTACCATTGGTGAAAGAGGCTGGGACACAGCCAGCCCTGGTGGTCCAGTTGTGAATTCTGTATAGCCTTTAGCTTGTCTGGCTGCAGGCTGTCTCCTGTCCTCCTGCGCGCAGAATGCTGTGTGGAGCATTGCCATGGTAAGGCGCGGCAACGCTCCACACAGCCTGCTTGTGGGAGGAGCGATCTGCCTTACAGGTCGGCCTCTCATGCAGCCCTAGGTCCTAGCTACCTCTCTCCCCGATCGAAGGGAGATCTCCCTCACCAACCCGAGGGAGCTCACGGCCAGAAAACAGGGCCACCTCTCCATTGGCCGGCAGGGGAGAACAATGGATATCCCCTGTCGGCCGGGCATGCTGGGCAGACAAACACTTCCAGACACAGACACACACACACTTACTGACAGACACACACATTCACTTCCAGACACACATGCACACACTTCCTGATACACACACTCACTTCCAGACACACACACACACACACACACAACTGACTGACAGACACACACACTCTCTTCCAGACACACACACTTCCAGATACACACACTTACTTTCAGACACACACTCACAAATTAATTGTATTTCTTGTTGCTCCTACCTTTAGGAGTCCTCTGGGGCCTCTCCCTGGGGTCCAGTGACTTCCATGCTCTTCCTGCTCCTCTCTGCTCCCTCGCGCAATTTAGTTTTGCGGGGCCGGAATGACGTCATATTCCAGCTCCCGGCATCACCAGAGAGGGTGCGCGAGGGAGCAGGAAGATCATCAGCAGAGGCAGTGTTCCCTCACCGCTGCCTGCCTCCTTCCTCACACGGCCGATATATTCCTGCAGAGTAGGCACCTGCCATCTGGGACAAGCAGGTGCCTACTCTGCCCTGCTACCGGGGCGCCCTAGGTGGCCAGTTGGCCACCTGCTGGGCTCCCTGTGACAGGCCATGGGCCTGCTCCGCGCGGCACCTCCCTCCTCCAGGTGTCCCAGGACCGGCTGCTGCCCTGCAGCGGACGTTTTTCAAACGATTTAGGGCGGCCTGGGGGGCAATTGCCTCCCTGCCCCAGCCTGCCCCTGCTGAGTCTTTTCAAAACTAGAATAGGTCTGAATGATTTCTCTGTTTTTTTCCACAAGAAAAAGCCTTGAGTAAACTTAACAAAAAATGTATGTATTGGAGAGTCTGGGATGTAGTTAAATATCGGTTGTGTGTATGGGTGATGGTTATCTTTTTTTTGGGGGGTGGGGTGGGCGCACACAGACATATTTTTTTTTTTTATTATTATTATTAGCTGTAGTTGCCTAAATTTGCCATTTGTGTTTTAAAATTAATAAATTACACCCTTTATTTTACAATTCATGTGACAGGTTTATTTCAAAACAGTTTAATGACAGGAAGAATAATAAATAATTTGTTGATGGCTAAAGGGTTACTCCAACCACCATAACCACTTCTTCTTTTAGAAGTGGTCATGGTGACACAGCTCTGTTTTTGAGGCACTTTTGCTTAAAAAACTACACATCTGGGACCCTCCATCCTTGAGCAACGCACACCAATCCACCGGCCATCGCCAGAAGGGAGGCAAGTAACCTAATAACCCATATACTGCAGCATGGGAATGTGATATTAAATGGTATACCTGTATGTCAGGAGCACCAATCTCCTGCTAGTTCGACAACTTATTTCAATGTTGAACATTTACTCACATAATGTAAGGGGAATGAACACCCCTCATAAACGCAGGATGCTACTCAGAGATGCAAAAATAGCCCAAGCTGACATTGTGTGCCTCCAAGAGACACACTTCGTCAAAACTAAAGTCCCCATCTTTGGCACTAAGGACTATCCAATACCATACAACGCACACATCGAAAGCCAGAGGCGTGACAATACTAGTGCACAAATCACAGGCATTTGAATTACTCAAATTGGTGACAGATAGCCAGAGAAGATATGTTATACTGGTATGCAACATAAACAGCACCGCGTACACCATAGCAAATATATAAATATACAGCCCTAACACAAACCAAAGGAACTTCCTACACAAGGTGCTCACGAAACTAGAACCCCTTCGTTCCCCACAGCTCATTGTCTGTGGAGACTTTAACCATATTTTCTACCAAGAAATTGACACATCAGCAACCCCGCTATTACCCAGAAGCAAAACATTACACACACAATGCACGTCCATAGCTAAATTGCTGACTGAATTCAGCATATATGACTCGTGGCAAACACTCCACCCAGTAAAAAGGACCTATTCCCACTACTCTCAGGTCCATAAGACCCACTCTAGGATAGATCATATACTAATATCAGCCCCGACACTACTCAAGACAATAAAGTGCCACATAGAGACATAGTGTGGTCGGACCACGCCCCACTAACTCTGCAATTGACTGACACATTCCCCTCGAGAGGAAAGGCCCCATGGAAACTCAATGAGTCGTTACTAGCAGATGAACAATTCAAATTGGCAGTAGAAAAGGACCTGCAGGCGTACTTTGCTACCAATGACACACCAGACAGCACAGCACTGACTCAATGGCTTGCCCATAAATCAGTAATAAGGGGTATCTTCTTAAGCCGCGCAGCACATGTCAAACCCAACTCCTGACACTACTGAGGCGACTGAGAGACACCACCACACAGCACTTTATCTCCCCGACTCCAACCCTGCAAACCACCATAGACCAAACACAACAATTTATTAATGAGTGGCACTTAAGCAAGACCATGTACATGCAGCAGAAACTTAGAACGAGAGAATACGCCCAGGACAACAAAGCTAAGAAGCTGCTGGCGTCAAGGATTAGACCGCAACAGCAGACCCAAAAAATCCCTTATCTCCTGCAAACAGATGGCACGAAAATATATAACCCACAACACATAGCTGACGAATTGGCAAAATACTATTCTACACTATACAATCTTAAATACGACATGACAGTATACCAGCCGACAGAGGTAGACATTAGCAACTTCCTATCACGTATGCAACTCCCGACTCTCTCCCCAAGCCAACAATGAACACTTCAGACCCCCATTACGGTAGATGAAATTATTTCAACAATTGAAGCACTGCCATCCAGCAAATCGCCAGGGCCAGACAGACTTCCAAATGTATACTACAGAACCTACTCCAAAACATTAGGGCACCCCTTACACAACGCATTCCAAGCCATGTTACAAACTGGAGACCCACAACAAGATATGTTGATGGCGCATATAGCGGCATTATCAAAACCAGGAAAACCCCCCATCAAGAGCCAAAACCTCCAACCCATATCATTACTGAACACAGACATCAAAATGTTAGCAAACATTTTTGCCAACAGACTGTCAACAATCATACCAACGATAGTGTACGACGACCAGGTGGGATTTGTTAGGGGCCGACAGGGAGCAGATGGTACCAGGAAAGTGCTGGACCTGATGCACTATAGGGATCGACCGATATTGATTTTTTTAGAGCCGATAATCTGTGAACTTTCAGGCCGATAGCTGATAACTTGCCGATATTCTGTACATTTACCATTTTGAGTAACATTGTGTGTTTGTGTAGTGTGTATAGTGAATGCAGAGTGTGTGTTTGTGTAGTGTGTTTGTGTAGTGATGTAATTTGTGTAAAATTGGGGGGGGGGGCATTTTTTTATGTTAATTTTTTTTTTATATATATATATATTTAAATTGTGTTTTTTGTTGTTGTTTTTTTTAGTCCCCCCTCCCTGCTTCTTACCAGAGAGGGGGGATATAGTATTCCCTGGTCGTGCGGTGGCTTGTTAAGTACTGGGGGGGCCGGCAGCAAGCGCTGACTTACCTTGCCCGCAGCTCCTCCAGTTCCCCAGTGTAAATCTTGTGGCCCTTAGTGCTGCACGGAGCGTTGCCATGGTAACCCGTGGCAACGCTCTGCGGCCGCGGGTCTCGCGAGATTTAGACATGGAGCTGCTGGCAAGGTAAGTCAGCACTTGCTGCTGGCCCTCCAGGACCACCGGGCTTGTAATGAGCCTGGCGGTCGTAGGAGGTATTATCAGCAATATCGGTATCTATATTGGCCGATACCGATATTGCCGAAAATACCGATAATTGGTCGATCCCTAATGCACTGCCTCCGGGGAGGGAGGAGCAGTGTGTTCCTGTCCCTAGATGCAGAAAAGGCGTTTGACAGGTTGAACTGGTCCTTCCTCCTCGGGGTGCTGCACAAGTTTTGCTTCCCGACCCAGTTCTTGGCCGCAGTGACGACACTCTATAGCAACCCATCCGCAAGAGTTGCCACAAGCGGATTTCTCTCCTAACCATTTGGCATTTCCAGCGGGTCAAGACAGGTTTGCCCCCTGTCTCCCCTACTAGACATTCTAGCGCTGGAACCCCTCACCACCTTAATCCATAACCACCCACATATACAGGGCATACAAGTGCAACAAAAGGAATATAAACTTACACTGTTTGCCGATGATATCCTGCTCACCTTATCTAACCCTAAACTCTCCTTACAAACGTACACAACCACGTTGGCAGACTATAGTAGATGCTCCTACTACAAGCTAAATGTGTCCAAGATGCAAGCCATGAGCCTTAACATGCCCAGTGAGAGTACAAAAGCTCTAAAGTCAGAATTCCAATATGATTGGCGGACAGACCACCTTACCTTCTTAGGAATCAAATTGACCCCCTCAGTAACTCAACTTTTTAGGGAAAATTACACGAAGTTACAGACCCAGGTGCAAACGCTCCTCCAGGGATGGCACAAAAAATTTATTTCATGGTCCGGCCGAGTGGCCGTGGTGAAAATTGTTATTCTCCCCAAATATCAATACCTATTTAGGACTCTCCCAATCCAACTACCGCCCTCCTACTGTGCAGGGAACCAACAATTACTAAACCAGTTTATCTGGGCACACAAGAAACCAAGGATAGCTACCTCTATGATGTACAGACACCACACGAAAGGGGGTATGAGCCTTCCTAATATACGACACTACTACCACGCAGCAAACATTAACCCCATTATTACTGCGCAAACCCGAGAACATCGCCCACAGTGGGTGGCATTAGAGTCAGCAACCTCCCCAGGCCATCAATTCTTATCGATCATGTGGATCCCGCTCCTCCTTAAGCCTAAAGACATAAAGATGCTACCAACTACGGTCTTGACAAAACACATATGGGAAGCCTATACAGCCACCCTCTGTATGACTAAAGCCTATTCCTCAGCAATGACGATCTCCACATTACAATCATTGAGTCCTGACTTTAACTCCCGCATGTGGGAGAGGCACCATGTAACAAACATTGCACAAATACTGCAGGGAGACCCTATCATGCCCTTCCCAAAACTACAGCAACAGTTTAACTTGCTGAATACGGCTGAGTTTGCATACTTCCAACTGAGGGCATGGCTAATTAAATACTATATGCCAGCAATGAAAAATGTAAATGAACAGCGGTTGTCGACCTTCGAACGGGCACTAACTGCGCAAATACCAGCAAAAAAAATAATTTCACTACTATACAATAGCCTAAACGAGGGCATAAAATGTAAAAAACTACCCTTTGTGCAAAGCTGGGAATGGAACTTACACCTCAACCTAGGACTGTATCCACTTAATAGAACAAAACAAAACCTACGAATGCGCAGCAAGACAGGCGGCTAATCAAAAAAACTAAATATGGAAGATAGCCTGGGAGCGCAGGAATGTGGCCATGGAGAGCCATAAATCACACTCAGAAAGTCCCTAAGCCCTTGAAGAGTGGACAGCCGTGCTCATGTAAATACCCATGTGAGTGACTAACACACCAAAGGTTGCCATACTACTACTAATGTTATAACTAATAACTAAAGTACCAATTAGGATCAAGGGATAAAGGAAATACATTACGCACATTTGTGCCACACTAGTGGCTACAGATTAACCTAAGGATGGACAACAAACCCCCCACTCCCCCCCAGGGAACCCCGTTTCCCCCTTCACTGTTAGTTCTATGCAAAAAGACTTCACAGCACATGCTGACATCTAAGCATGAAAACAATTGTATCCCACATATATCTATGTTTGATGTACCAATGCAGCTGAAAGTGATATGTCAGTTTATACTGCACTTATATATGTAAAGCTTACTGCAACATGTCATGCATGTCTGTGAATAAAAAACAATTAAATCAAAAAACAAAAACTGCACATACTGAAATTTTTGCACTTTTGCGTCAGAAGCAAGTTGCAGCTCCAGCACACAAGACAGGTCAGTTCTGTGCAAAAAACTACATCTGTCGTCAGCGTGCACCATGTGCTGGCAACAACTGTAATGAACCTCGCCCTTGCAGGCAGTGAACATGGGAAGGATTAGTAACTGACTCCAGTTAGGTGTGTGTTTAGATATGTTAAAGGTTACCATCAATATTACGCAGCCTTGATATTTATATCATAGCATAATCCAGTAAATGTTCCATCTGTATATGTGCTGTTAACACTTTTTGTCTGCAAAATATGTATTTAATAAATATCTCTGTTTTCACATATTACAGATAAGACATGGAGATCACGTATATTTTGAAGATGATGGCTGCATATGTCGTTTACATGTTGGTAAATGTTGCTAAATCAAAAAGTAGTTGCTGCGATTGTTGATGTATAGTTTGTATGTCCCATTATTGATAGGTGTTGCAGCATTTGGAAATTCATTTGGGGGAGATTCTTGAAAATGAGAGAAACATCAGTGCTTTGTATTTCATAGAACACTTTGTAAAGTGATAGTGACACTGATTTAAAACCACAATTTATCTCCTCTATGTAAATGTCTCGCATATACAATTTGAAATCATAGGACAATAGCATGCACAACTGTTACTGTGTATTAACTTAAAAACAGCCTCCATTATTTTTAAGGTAACCAAGTGCTTCAAGCTATTGCTTGTAAAACTCTTTGTACATGCCTCATTTCTAGTTCTTAAATATATGTTTCTGGCTCTCAAAACCTCACAATTCTCACACTAATGTTTTAAATGTCTTTTAATGTGAAACATTCATACAAATGTTCAGAAAGGATCTTTTGAGGTTGTAGTTTCTTTAAGTAAATTTTAAAGAGGAACTGTAACCACTACAGCTAATAGTGGTTATGGAGCAAAGTGTCATTAGGCGCCGTCTGTATGGTGAGTGTCAAGCCAGGGCTTTTCAGGCTCCCAGTTTTGATAGGTAGCACAGCACTTTCAGCCTATTAATGGTAACCCCAAGTTGGACTGGTAACATGACATATCACTTCTTTGGGAGATGGTCTTTAAGTTCGGAGAGAGTCCTGTTTTTTTTATAAAACTGCTTGGAAATGGTTTGGCACTAATCAGGGAGAAGGTGCCTGAAGACTCTTCCATCTTAATCAATACAATGAGCTTTAGTGGTTGTTATGCTTAGAATGCCATTTTAATTGGTGTTTGCAAGTTACAGGTGAAGAGAGTCTTGAAGTTTTGCTGGGTCCAGATGATTTTGGACTCCCATACTACCAAATCCAACAAATCAGAATTTCACCAAATCACAACTTCCTGGCTGTTACATTCAAAGGCACTGACTGGGAAGAATCTACATGTATCATTCTAAAGCTTGGAACCTTGCCACAAGTAACGCACTGTCTACAAAATGTTCGCAGTTTTGGTAAGAATAATACTTCTATCTAAAAAAGGTTGCAAATTCAGATTTCTAAGTGTCTTCTGATCTTGGCAAAAGTTTAAAGGACCACTATAGGCACCCAGACCACTTCAGCTCAATGAAGTGGTCTGGGTGCCAGGTCCCCCTAGTTTTAACCCTGCATCTGAAAACATAGCAGTTTCAGAGAAACTGCTATGTTTACACTGCAGGATTAAATATAGCTTCTACTGGCTGTCACCCTGACAGCCACTAGAGGCCGCTTCTGTGATTTACATAGAGTAAATTGCACTTATTTGACGCTGGACGTCCTCACAGAGTCCATTGTCAAAAAAGATCCCCATAGGAAAGCATTGAGTAATGCTTTTCTATGGGCGGGTTTGAATGCGCACGCACCTCTGGACACGCATGCGCATTCGGCTCCCCTCGGAAGCTGACATTGATAGAGGAGGAGAGGTCACCAGTGCCGAGGGAGCCCGGCGCTGGATTAAGGTAACCAAATAAATGGTTAACCATTTATTCGCCGCGGAACAGGGCCCTAGTCACCGGTGACTAGGGCTCTATAGCGTTGGGAATACATATTTGTATTGCTAACGCTATAGTGTTCCTTTAAGGAAAAACAAAATTTGTTCTGATTTGACAAAACATTAATGAATTGTTTCAGCATGTTATAAAAAGACAATTAAGTAGATATCCCGTTGTAATAAGAAACAAAGCCTTTCTGCCTGCCCTTTTTATTTATAAAAAATATGAATGGATCAATATGTTGTGTGATTAAAAACAAAATTATGTTTTCCCAATTGGATATTCAAAAATTTTAGCACACAAATAAAATGAAAAGGCAACCTTTAAAAAAAAAAAATAGCTTTTATTACTTAACGGCCCAAATGTCGCAAATAGCCCTATGGCACACCCCTCCAGAAACTAGAAGGTGGGTTGACCTGAAATTGTTGCTCATGAATCAGACCTTCTGCAATTCTACATTTGGACCATGAGAGAACACAGAGCACTCCCGAGAACAACATGCCCATCCATCACCAACTCCATCCAATTATGGGACAAGTTTGCCCTTAAATACGAATTAACATCCACGTCCTCACCCCTATATGCCACAACAGGGCCTTCATGCCAGGCATGAGACCCAGGGACTTCGGGGGCCTTGAGCGAGCCGGCCTCCAGAGAATCCACCAACTATATATAGGCGACACCGTAATCTTCCCAGATCTGCAATCTAGAGCAACCTTAACCCCATTTAAATTCTTTAGATACCTCCAACCTAGAAACTACGTCACCCTAACGACGGTGAAAACCGCCGCCAAAACCAAACCGACCTTCTTCAAACAAATCTGCCGTGCGGAACAATACCAACGAGGTTGGTAATACCCAATAGAATTTGTGCACCTATCCTGTTATTAATATCCAATGTCAAAAAAAAAAAGCAGAGAGAAGTCATATGTACACCATAACACTTGTAGCAATGTCAAAACAGATGTTCAGGAAAGTGGTAGAAATTGGGAAGAGTTTCCCCGCATAAGGGAAAGTCAAGTAAGAAAAAGATTAAGTCCCTGCGAATCTATCCCCAAACGTGCCTTTGAGGGCACCTATGTTTAGTTTGAAATCCCAGTCCCACTGAGCTCTACTGACTAAAGGTTCCCTGCTTAAAATGAGACCTACAAAAACAAATAACAGGTGTATGGGGGAAAAAAAACAGCAAGGTTCAGCAGTGTTAAACATGGTCTATGTAGAAAAGCCGTATAGGCAAGATAACAGAACCAGCTTTATACGAGCCCCAGCGATTGTTTTGCCGATCAAGTGGCTCTTCCAGGGTTATTCAGCCAGTCTCTCTGAGAAGCATTTAATTGGACCACCGAGAGGGAAGCAGTGCTGTTGGACACGATATAGGGTTATGTTCATTTTACAGCTTTATTGGGGGTACCTTATTACAAATGCCCAATATGGCATTCTGAATTAAAAAAATAATAATGATAATAATTAAATAGCCCAAATTAGACCCTTTAAGTCTAATTGGGGTTAGCAGACATTTGATGCTGTCTCCAAAGATCAGCTTTAGTTACCTTGAGTTTTCAGATATGTGTGAGAAGGCAGCAAGGGTACACATCAGATCAAGAGACAATAAATTATTTCTAATAATTTTTTCTTTTTGACAATCTTTATTTAAATTTTTTTTTCATATAAAGGTTTTATATAACATGCCATGAAATTGTATAATATAATGTGTGGTGTTTACATTAGAACAAGGTGATCATGTGATCAGGTGAACAAGCTGACGGTGGGCACTCCCGACTGTTTCCATAGGGAGGGGATCAGGGATCTGGCTGCAGTAAGGAGATGTTTAGTGAGGGGTTTATTGTATGTCGATATGTTCATGTTTGTGTGGTTCAGGAGCATTGGGAATGGCTGGAGGGGGAGATCTGAGTCCACTATCTTGTGAATGGTGGTGTGCACCATTTCCCAGAAAGGTGTTATCCGTGGGCAGGTCCACCATATGTGTATTCCAGTCCCCTTGTCCATCCCGCATCTCCAGCAGGTCTCCGAGATGTCCCTGTTCATGCGGCGTAGGACATTGGGCGTTCTCTACCATCATGTCAGTAGTTTGAAATTAGTCTTTTGGTGTTTCGTGCTGGTCGAGCTTTTGTGTGTCAGTATATATATCTTTTCCCATTCCTGCTCTGTGAGGTTAATCTCCATTTCTTCCTCCCATCGGGCGATTAATTTTTTTTTGGGGGGGCTCTGTCTGTTCCCAACAGTAGCATGTTGTAAAGCGTGGATACTCCATGCTCGAGGTGTTTCCTATTCACGCAGATCGCTTCAAATTGGATATCATCCCGTAGGTCCTGAATAGTCTGAGAAGGTTAGGTAATAAGACCAAAGGTATCTCCCGGATAAAAGAGCATGTCGTCCGCGTACGCCGCGACTCTATGCTCCTGTTGTCCACTGGTGAGACTCGCAATTCCCCTGTCCCATCTGACCGCCTCTAGAAATGTTTCCAGAGAGAGGGCAAACACAAGGGGGGACAGGGGACACCGCTGTCAAGTTTCTAATTATTTTTAATACGTTTTGGGGGTATTTTTTTCATGCAACTAAATGTTTTTTTCTTTTTCTACAGAATGGGTTACAGATAACATCTTGTTTCACACAAGGCAGGAGGACCTTCGTTGCCACCATGTATATCTCACAGATTTTACTAATACCTGTGCTACCAAATTGGTTTATGCTGAACAGGATTCAAGGTATGTGCATACACTCTAAAGTAGCTCTGTCTCCTAAAAACTTTTCTGCAAAAATAATCTAATAAGGTAGTCCCATATAGGGAAAGCAAACCCACAGTCTCATATTGCTCTTCTCTGGGACACCATAGAAAATCTTACAAATATGCAGCTTGAGCGTGATTTGGAGTGAGTTCACGTCTGCTTGAAAATAGTCACAGCCTGTGTGAGCACTTCTCTAGCTTTCTGCACAAGTGCGGGTGCCAGGTTCGCTGATTAGCTGTGAAAGTTTGTGTACCACCCCACTTATAAGATGTCCATTGACTAGCAGTGTTGTTGTGGTCATGATGATTACTGTCCAAAATTCATAGAAGATAAACTTTAGAGGTATGCATTACTTCAGAGTATTTAATATGTTCATCTGACCATTCTATGTTGAATTAATGATCACTTGAGACCCCATCACACTTTTTCATTATTGTTTAAAACATTTTTTAGCTGTTAAAATATGCTTCCATGATAACATTAACCAGTCTGAACCCACACTGAACAGTGCTGTTCATCTTCCAGCATTCCACTGGATTTGTAAGTGCTTATTATGTATTTACAGGTTTTCTATATTTATTTACAGGTTTTTTGTGGATATATACATGACGAGAGATAAGCGCTTTTTAACAATAAATAGTAACTCTAAAAGCACTTCTGAAGTCTGGTTGGTTGACTGCAATCATCTTCTGGAAACTCCTGTTCTTGTTCAACAGCGCATCCCCGGAATGATTTACCATATTGAACACAAAGATGGGTTTCTCTATATCCTTACCAATCATGGAGAGTCATCAGAATACAAGGTAATTATGTTCACATTTTTGCTTCCAAATGTAGACCACGATGAATTGGCAAGTTGTGCATGCTTATAATCTTAGCATTAAAGTAGCGCTGCCATTGTTTGAGAACTTAGCATTATTTGAAAAAACCCCTACTGTGATATCACCGCTGGGGATCCAGTGGCTGGAGAACAGCAAAACTGAGTTTACTTACCAGAACCTGTTCCACAAGGGCACTGCCATCCTCTTCCGACCGGTCCTCTTCTGCTCCTGAAGCTTCACCTGTCCGGTACTGATAGCACTGCTGATCTCTCGCACATGCACAAAAGTGCAGCAAAAAAGGTCTATGGAAGATACCGTGGGACTGCGATAGAGCTAATTTCCCTGCAGCTGTCACTGGTGACTCCTGGGAAATTGTTACTTCTTGATGGCAGTAGTTCCGCCCAGTGTCAAGAAATGTCTACTGAAACAAAATAGTCCCTACTTTGTCTAAGTATATCTTTTTACTGAGTTGGAATTTCAGTAAAATAGTTTAAATGTGCTAACAACAAACAAGTTGAGGAGATCTTAATGGTGGGCCTGCATACTTTGGGCCATAGTAGGAGAGTTAATTGGCCAAAAGGTAGCATGTCAGTCAGCAATGTCCATGCACAGAGCACTCCCATTTGGGCAGAATATTTGAGTTGATGAGTACAGTGCAAGGATGTATAATTACACTTTTTAGAGACTTGTCTGGATATCACCTGAAGTGGGAGCGAAGCTGAAAAGAATGTTAGGGACCCGGGATTGGAATGTTGAAATTGATGAACCTGTGAAGGAGAGACAGACAAAGGTTTCATACTTGCTAAGTAAGTAGTTAATTCTTATTAGTCTACTGCCTCTCATTTATTGATAATAATCATAACAGCAGACAATATGTAAAACAATTTTAGCCAATTTCTCCTCTTACTTTTTTGGTCTAGCTAATGAAAGCGCCTGTTTCAGGTCATATTGATGATTGGAGATTGGTTTATGAGACAAAACCTGAAGTTAAGATTGTGGACATGGAACTGTTAAAGGATCGTTGTATCATGTTCCTGAAGTGTAAAAATCGGCTATACTTCGAAGTGATATCTCTTTCCACTGACAGAGTTATTCAGTCTATCAAGGTAAAGACAAAAATGGAAAATACTGCGGATCATATTAAAACATGTTATTATCATGTATGCCTGGGAAAAATACAAAATATACAATTTTAAAATTAATCATATTGCCTCCAGGGCAGAGTATTTCTAGGCTGTGCTCATATGATGCAGAAAAAGGGCATTAATAGGTTGATGGATGTTGCTACCTTAGCAGCATGAAATGTTTTGAAAGGTTTGTGTTGTTTTTAAATTGTTTCGTGATTCGGTAAATAATAAACTGACAGCTCTGCTTAATCTTCTTTATTATTATTGGTTTTTATGTAAAACCAACATATTCCATAGAACTTTTTACTTTTAATATGGACAAACAGTTGCAAGAAAAAGTATGTGAACCCTTTGGAATGATATGGATTTCTGCACAAATTGGTCATAAAATGTGATCTGATCATCATTTAAGTCAGAACAATAGACAATCACAGTCTGCTTAAACTAATAACACACAAAGAATGAAATGCTGCCATGTTTTTATTGAACACACCATGTAAACATTCACAGTGCAGGTGGAAAAAGTATGTGAACCCTTGGATTTAATAACTGGTTGAACCTCCTTTGGCAGCAATAACTTCAACCAAACGTTTCCTGTAGTTGCAGATCAGACGTGCACAACGGTCAGGAGTAATTCTTGACCATTCCTCTTTACAGAACTGTTTCAGTTCAGCAATATTCTTGGGATGTCTGCTGTGAATCGCTTTCTTGAGGTCATGCCACAGCATCTCAATCGGGTTGAGGTCAGGACTCTGGGCCACTTCAGAAGGCGTATTTTCTTCTGTTTAAGCCATTCTGTTGTTGATTTACTTCTATGCTTTGGGTCATTGTCCTCTTGCAACACCCATCTTCTTTTGAGCTTCAGCTGGTAGACAGATGGCCTTAAGTTCTCCTGCAAAATGTCTTGATAAACTTGGAAATTAATTTTTCCTTCGATGATAGCAATCCGTCCAGGCCCTGACGCAGCAAAGCAGCCCCAAACCATGATGCCCCCACCACCATACTTAACTGTTGGGATGAGGTTTTGATGTTGGTGTGCTGTGCCTTTTTTTCACCACACATAGTGTTGTGTGTTTCTTCCAAACAACTCAACTTTGGTTTCATCTGTCCACAGAATATTTTGCCAGTACTGCTGTGGAACATCCAGGTGCTCTTGTGCAAACTGTAAACGTGCAGCAATGTTTTGTTTGGACAGCAGTGGTTTCCTCTGTGGTATCCTCCCATGAAATCCATTCTTGTTTAGTGTTTTACGTATTGTAGATTCGCTAACAGTCTTATGGCTTGACTGGTGTGCAGATTTTTGTTTAGCATTGTATTAACTATCCACATACTTCAGGTGGAAGGGGTTTTCAATCACAATTTTTCCCCACCATAACCTAATTGAATTTTGCTTCCCAAGCACTACCAAGCCTTACTAAGCAAACCAGTAACCAACCTCATGCTGAAGAGTTGCATTAACAACGAAACAGCTGTCCATGAGTGGTTCACTGGTTTTGCATCTTATCCTAAATTGTGTTCCAAGCAGTTGTATACTGCAAACACAAATTAAAGGAATCCATGTTTAAAATGGAATGAGGCAAAAATGTGATTCTTTGTTAAACTAATTTGCATATGCCCACCCAGAATCCTTTGCGGTTGTAACATCACTGCTGATTTGGGATTTCTGTGGGAAAAGCAAGTCTTATGGCTTGACTGGTGTGCAGATTTTTGTTTAGCATTGTATTAACTATCCACATACTTCAGGTGGAAGGGGTTTTCAATCACAATTTTTCCCCACCATAACCTAATATATATATATATATATATATATATATATATATATATATATATATATATATATATATTTTTTTTTTTATTTTTTTTTTTTTTAATTTTATTGTTATTTTATGTTTTATTTAATATAGCCTATCCGGGGTGGCAACTTGTAGTGAAGAAAATGTTTTACATTTGTTTACGCAGACTTTCATATGTTTACATAGAAATCAATATGACCTAAAGCGGGCATGTCAAACGTTCCTGTATATATTGAGTGATGTACAATAGTGATAGAGAGCACAGCTGGGTTACAGCTTTGTTTTCTTTCTTGTCTACCGCTGCGTTTCACAACCTATGGTGTGTGTGTGTGTATATATAATATATATATATCCCAGGGGGCACTTCAATACCTTTTTCATTTAACAAACTAATGGTATTTGCTAGGAAAGAGTGGCTAGCAGTGCATTGTGTCTCTACAAAAGGTTGGTTTTAGGGATATAGAATAATTAGTGTCCTGCATTCCTAGCTTTTAATGATTTTTTTTCTTCCCATTTTATTAAATTAATGATTTTATTTTATACTGATTTACGTTCATGTTGAATGCCAATTAGAATTTAAAAAAAGAATTCTAATTAACTGTCCAGCCCTATTGGGGACAATAGTTGCTGCAAAGCTCATTGGAGTTAATGGAAAGGATATATTTGTAGTAAAAATGTTGCCTAAGGACCAAAAATGGCATTTCATCGTATCAGTCAGCAGTTATAAAATGCTGAGTTGGCATTTGTGATATTCTGCAGATTTGCAGCAACAGCTGCAGAAAGAGAATTATTAAAAAATGGTCACCTTCACTGCTTCTTTGCCTCATTTTGCTAGAAATCATTGATAAACAATACAGTCCCTACTTCTAATTTCTAACTGTGTTGACATTTCATTAACATTCTGCCTCAGTCTTTATCTGTTTTTTCATGAAGGTTAACTCTATAAAAATGGAAAAGTGACATTGCTGCTTTAATTTTCTTCAGGATTTATTAGTAACTGGGAGAAAGTCCAGAAGGATATCAAAGGAAGGCAGTAACAGGGTCATGTTTGTCAACTTTGTGGGGTGTCCGGTCTGCTGCCTGGGTTCCAGTGGGGGCTGGAGAGTCCTGGGTGAGATTCAAAGTTGGCAACAGTGCCTTCGCTTCTTACATGTCGTGTACGAAGAACATTTCTCCGCCCTTAATGACCATGAGGGTGCGCGCCATGCGCCAACATTATTAGAGATGGTGCTTTTTAGTAAGGACAATAATGTTCTCCTCCATGCCAGGGTACCTCCCGAGAGGTCTGAAGAGACTGCGAGTTGCATGGTCTCAAAGTTGTAGGGCATGCGATATCCTGATAGCTTCGAGGACTGCCGCCTTCTATCTCTCACTCCAAAATTGGACTATTAGGTCTCGTAGTCCGGCGGCTGGGGCCTTAGGTGATTTGGGTATACGGAATAGTCTCTCCGGCCTCACCGCTTTGCCTTGTCTCTGGGTTAGGAGTGCAGTTATCTGGCGTTGTAAAAAAGTGCTGTAATTCTGCTGCTGGAATGTCCTCGCTGATGCGATTTTCACATTCTTTCTACGTCTTGGGTCCTCCAGCGCAGCAAAGCGACGGTCGTAGGGCTCATTATGTTTCTGTAAGCCGATTGTCGCCTGCTGTAGAGAGGCAATTTGTTGTGTGTGTTCTCACGTGGTGGTTTCCTGCACTCTCAGCCTGCCCACAGGCCTTTGATGTCTGCGCGGATCACTGCCAGATTTAACAGTATGTAGGTCTGAAGGTCCACCAGGACTGACTTGTGCACATTAGTGGTAACTGGTGCTGTGTCCGAGACGCGCGGCACTGGGCCTAACGGCTTAAATTTTAGTGGGGCATCCATATCCTCATCTGGGGAGATATCGGAGAACTCAGTGTAGGCCTCGGGGTATGCGCCCATTTTGAGTCCTGCTGTGCTGTTTGCTTGGTGCAGGAGGTCTCCAATATGTAGGCCTGGACGCGGTTTGTCCTGTTTAAAATGTTGTTTTTTTTCAGCCCTTATCTGTGTTAGTGTAGCAGTTAAGTCCTCTGGGATCACCAATTTGGAGTTTTGGGTCTCCAGAGGGTAAAAAGCCAATTACCCGAGCTCTCATGCGATGTGGCTGCTCAGCTCAGTTGCTTGGCTCCGCCCCCCTTATTACCAAATAAGCAATAAATAATACAATCTGAAATCACAACGCGTTTTACCTCTGGTCCTGTCTTAAGTGACAGCAATTACTTTATAGTGTTAGGAGACAATAACCAAGGTGAAGGCAGAGCCAGGCATATCAAGATTACTCAAAGTGTAAAAATGTATTAGACATTTAGTGCTGCCAATTTTTGTTATCGGCCAATAAATTCATTGCACAATAATAATAGAAAATAGTAACAATTATCTCAAATATTGAATTTTCTAATTGGTATATATATCATAAAAAACAAGTAAGAGAAGGGGGGGGGGGGTGATTTAAATAAACATCTCCTATGTGGGGAATAACCCCTAGTGAATAGCTTCACCAAAAATGCACAAGAAAGAAGAAAAAAGGAGAAAAATAGGACAGACTAGTACCAATAGTCCTAGTAGAGTGGGTTTCCCTTAGAGAAAAGGGAAATAATGGCGGGAACCATTAGTGTCTGAATAGCACAATCCCAAATATAAAACGTAGCTTTTAATAATAACTAACTAAAAAAACACAAATAATGGTGGATACAATTGCCCTCCAAGATAGCTATGTCTGTATATAGCCGAACAGCGGCACCTCCAGGAGCGGTCAGGAAAAGAGTCCCTCTTGGGGACTGGCAGCTATTAATAGCAGAGTGTAACAGAAAGGTGGAGAGATGTTACAAAATAAGTAAACACACGCTACTTAAGTAGTGTAATAAGTAACCATACACTGCTTGATAATAAGTTGTGTGGATATATTGTCCAGACAGTATCCACTGTGAGTCTATAATACCCTCACAGGATATGATAAAGTATCAAGGTGGAATACTGTCAGGATAAATAGTAAATTATATGGTATGATTCCCAATACAATAAACCTTACAGGATCCTGTTTGATGCTGTAAGTGAGAACCTGTCCAATTGTAAGGCTAAATAGCTGACACAAATTAGGGAGAGAGGTAGCTAATGATAAATGTGGCAAGGGAGAAAAAACAACAACTAAGCACTCAGTAGATATATGAGATATATAAGAGCCCTAGCCGCTTGTGCCTTCAAGGGCACCCCTTAACCCAAAAAGCCTAATAGCTCCTAATGCTTGTCAGTAGTAAGCCCACCCCCAAATTAGAGAATGCGCTCAAAAGATAAATATCGATGCCGTAAATGCTCCTAACCGGAACCCCCAGGATTCGGAGTTGCCGATGGGTATAGATTTATCCTGTCTAAGTAGCAGGGTAGCAAAGTATAAAGACACTGGTGGTGCAGTTCAAAAGGGAAGGATAACGCCGGGTACAAGCCCCTGACGCGCGTTTCGCCACTCAAAGCTCTTCAGAGGGGAGAGCTTTGAGTGGCGAAACGCGCGTCAGGGGCTTGTACCCGGCGTTATCCTTCCCTTTTGAACTGCACCTCCAGTGTCTTTATACTTTGCTACCCTGCTACTTAGACAGGATAAATCTATACCCATCGGCAACTCCGAATCCTGGGGGTTCCGGTTAGGAGCATTTACGGCATCGATATTTATCTTTTGAGCGCATTCTCTAATTTGGGGGTGGGCTTACTACTGACAAGCATTAGGAGCTATTAGGCTTTTTGGGTTAAGGGGTGCCCTTGAAGGCACAAGCGGCTAGGGCTCTTATATATCTCATATATCTACTGAGTGCTTAGTTGTTGTTTTTTCTCCCTTGCCACATTTATCATTAGCTACCTCTCTCCCTAATTTGTGTCAGCTATTTAGCTTTACAATTGGACAGGTTCTCACTTACAGCATCAAACAGGATCCTGTAAGGTTTATTGTATTGGGAATCATACCATATAATTTACTATTTATCCTGACAGTATTCCACCTTGATACTTTATCATATCCTGTGAGGGTATTATAGACTCACAGTGGATACTGTCTGGACAATATATCCACACAACTTATTATCAAGCAGTGTATGGTTACTTATTACACTACTTAAGTAGCGTGTGTTTACTTATTTTGTAACATCTCTCCACCTTTCTGTTACACTCTGCTATTAATAGCTGCCAGTCCCCAAGAGGGACTCTTTTCCTGACCGCTCCTGGAGGTGCCGCTGTTCGGCTATATACAGACATAGCTATCTTGGAGGGCAATTGTATCCACTATTATTTGTGTTTTTTTAGTTAGTTATTATTAAAAGCTACGTTTTATATTTGGGATTGTGCTATTCAGACACTAACGGTTCCCGCCATTATTTCCCTTTTCTCTAAGGGAAACCCACTCTACTAGGACTATTGGTACTAGTCTGTCCTATTTTTCTCCTTTTTTCTTCTTTCTTGTGCTAATTGGTATATATAATCACTTTAACACAGCTTAAAAAGTAGTGTCTACATTTTTCTAGCTCAGGATGTGTAGTTTTGTCGGATGTTTAAGCACTTCTGACTCTGTCCTTTTTGTGCACTTCTTTTTTTTTTTTAGTAAATATCTTTATTGACAGGTGTTTAAGAGGGCAGTAATACAATATGTCATCAAGTTGCAGTAAAACAACAGTAATATAACCAACAACCATTATCTTCAAACGTTATTCCAAGCCTCTCAAAAAATTTATTTTTCATTATTTCTTTCCCTACTTTCCCTCCCTACCTTAGCTTAACCTTCGATCTCTATCCGGAAGTATATATCGTTGGTTGTGGAGATTGTGAGATTATAACATCGAGACTCGCAGGTCTCCACAGTTGTAGTGCGTAATCAGAACAACAATAAGCCAAGTGTGTAATCTGATGGGGTAACCAAATGGTTGCCAGTAAAGTGGCTCGTGGGCCCAAATGTAATTTGGGTTCGCAGGTCTCCAGTGGAATTGCCATGTGTACCTGAACAAATATACATGGTGGGGGTTAGTGGGCAATGTGTCACTACCAGAATTACGTGGAGCAAGTAGCAGCCCACTTATCTGAACATGTCTTAGGACAATTTGGTAAATTACATGTTTGGGGCTACACCGAAGGTGAAACTTTATGGCCCGCAGGTCAGAGCAGGCAGGGAACATTTGTAAGACATAAGTAAGAAAAAACTCGGGGAACCCAAGAAAAAACACACACATAGCTCACAGGCCCAGTGGCCGGTGTGTCTGCGGGACCTGTGGGCATACGGGTCCACTGCAACATTTCGGGACGGGGGTTTCTGGAGCTCCTTCCCCCCATTGGGAGCACATGTGCTCACTTCGTTACAGTATGGGAGATAATGGGGTATCATCCCAGTGAGACTCCGAGAGCCAAACCCTATTTGGAGCTTGTATCGACATATAGCTTAAGTGAAGCGTTCGGAGTCTAGAATTTTCCCATGACCATTACCTATGGCAGAGCTCGCGCGTTGTTCAGGCATCCCTATATCCCAGTCGTGGTGTCCGAGTCCTTGTCGCCAGCTAACGTGTGGGAAGCGTCGAAGTTCCGTGTAGTATGGGTATTGCACCCGCATGCAGGGGGGGATGAGATGTATGTCAATCGGGTTATCAAAGGTCCGTCATATTTAAGAAATACCCGTCTAAGCGTCGGGCAAACAGGCCACGAAGGGTCTCGAAGTTCTGCGTCTTGGGTTAGAGGTCATCGTGTTTTATCCGCGAACTTACGTGAGTGTACATTTTGTTAGTCCCTATCACTCATTAGTGCCACTGCGGTATCTGCTTATCTACAGTCAACTCATTCGGCCCCAGCTCCGGGACCCCAGATCCCGGTGTGGAGGCAGATGGGAAAAGAGGGGGTTAGAAAAGGGGGATAGAGGATAGTCAAGGTACAAGGGGAGTTGTCCCCCCGCCATGGCCCACACCGTCCTGCGTCCCAGCCGAGGGTCCCGTAGTGCCTCCACCTCCACGGTAACGGGAAATGTGTAAGTACCATGGCATCCACATCTCGGCGTGCCTGGTTCCTCGACCCGTCAAAGTAGCATGTGCTTCTTCAGCTCCTTGAATTTCCTCAACCCTGCAGATCCATTCTTTTTTGTTTGGGGTAGAGCTCTGTTTCCAGAGAGCTGGAATGTTAGCCTTAGCGGCATTAAGCAGGTGTCGAAGTATCGATCTCTTATATGACAATATGGATTGAGTTGAGATATGTAATAATGCCAATTCTGCGGACCACTCCGTCTGTACTCCCAAAATGAGTTAAACTGTTTCCCTAATCATTGCCCAGTATGGAGCAATAGCTCTGCACTCCCACCAGATATGGAGCACCGTGCCGCGTGTTTCCTGGCATCTCCAGCATATTGGGGGAATCGAGGGGAATATCCGGTGCAGTAAAGTGGGTGTCCTATACCAGAGAGAGAGCAATTTATAGTTCATTTCCTGGTAGAAAGAACTCATAGAGCTCTTATGCTGCCAAAGCAACTCCGTATCCCATTGCTGTGTCGTGAGTCCTTTCCCCAGTTGGTCTTCCCATTGTCGCTTGAACGTCGTAGCCACCGACTTGCCCCCGAGTTTTTGTGCACTTCACATGTTGCTTGGCTTCCTTACGTTTGCGTGATTGGGGATTGTTCAGCATCTTCCTATGCTTGTTGTCCTTTGATTTCTCCTAGTCGTATATAAATAGTTATATTTTCAGGTTCCATCGCAACTCCTAGCACTATCTGTAAACAATGCAAGGGGAAATAAAGGAATTTTGCTAGCAGATACATATATTTGTATCTGTTTATATATATATACCATTTCGATCAGCTTTTATTTAATTATTTTGTTTTTGTATTTTGTTTAATGACTAACTCTATTCCCGAGTCACACACTTTCAAGAGATGTGGGTGATGTAGTTTCTTACCCTTAACAATTGTTCATTTTTGTGTCTGCACTGGAGCCGTTGCAGTCTGCCCATAGTAATCTCCTTCTAACTATTATATCCATTAAATCCATTTTGGCAAAAGACAGCTTTTCAAATGTGTATGCAGAGCTAATTGGACAAAGAGTACCTAAAACAACAATTCCATCTGCCCTCTTTTAATTTTTATCCTAAATTCCTTAAAAAAATGTCTTGTTTTTTTTTTTTCAAAAATGAGTGCAATTAATTCTCTAAAATATAAGTCTGTGCTTTTTGGACCTGTTTGGATTTTCTGCCCAGGGATGCAGAGGACAGCAGCTATTCAATTACTAGCTGCACCTTACTTGGCTACTTATCAACATCTCTCATGTATTAAGGCTTTTCTTTCCCTCTCTTAACTTCTTTGCCCTTGTCTGCAACATGTAAAGAGGCGATGTCTGAGATGAAAGAAATAGGATGTAATCAAAACATGAATGTGTTTGCAGCAGTGCAGTTACTAATTTTTTATTGCGTTGTGTTCAATTGTTATGTTTAGAAGCAGGGGAAGAATAAAGGTTATGGCCTTTCAGAAGCTTACAGAGAATGAATACTGATTTCTTTCTTTCTTCTTGTGCCGGGAATCCTACACATAATAGCTGCTAACCACCAACTGTAGATGTGCCAAGAAAGGGGTTATTGTTTTGCTCGATAGTTTTCTGTAGCACTCTGTTTCAAGGCACCAATTTCAAGTGACTAAATACTATAGAACGACCGTAGTGCAGGATCAGTAGGTGAAATCAAACTGGTTAGATTACCAGAACAAGTTGGCCGAGGGCAGATAATATAGGAGAGAGAGAGGGGAATAAGAGCAGTGAATAGAATTACTTACTGAATATAACATGTTATTCATCCCAAAGGGATTTTCATTGGGGTGTTTTTCATAACCGCTATGAACAACAATCTTCATAGCACTTTGAACCTAGCACAAAATAATAGCAGTCTTCTTTGCAGTCGATCCGAGACCTACACACTTACGTTGAAATACATAGCAGAATAATATAAGCTCGGCTTTGAGATAAAATACATTGCTCACTAATTTTTCCTTGATAAAAGTTAGTGATTGCCAGTACAATTGAGCGATTTGCAGCCTGTGTTTTTACAAAACCCTGTGGTTCTTCAGGAGCAGACAAGAAACATCTAGTTATAGCATGGAAGCATTATTTTACACTTTTATTGAAAATATCTCTATATGTTACAGTCATTAAACCATAGTCTTGTATGCTTTTTTGTAGTAGATTTTCGAGGTGCCCCGCAGTAATTTGTTTATATTCTATGTGAATAAAAGTGGGATGAAGTCTCAGAAACAAGGTTGAGAATAATTACCTATACAAAATATGTAATGTCTTCCTGCCAAATCTTTCTTTGATTTTCTTGGCATACAGCCACTTCATAAGCAATAATTCAACCTGATGAGAATGGTTCTCGGCCAAGTGATTTACTAACTGTGCTCAGTGTTTAATTTTTGCTGTATTGTAGTATGCTTATATCTTTATTTTTTTTTAATGTCTACTCGATAACAACACATTTTAACGCTATTGTTGTTTTTTTTTATATTTTCATTTAATTGGTTCTCAAATATTATGTATCAGGGAACCTCATATATTTATCAGTTAGATATATAAACATAGAATTTGACAGCAGGGAAGTGTTTGACCCATTTAGTTGGTACATGTTTATTGAGAGAATGGCAAAAAGTAACAAGATAATGCAAAGACTTTGCAACCCATACGCAGTTCGCTGAAGTAAAAATGCATATTCAGTGTCAGGTTTCCCATAGAACAGGTTGTCCAAATCTTTTTTCTGGACTTGAGTAGCTATAAAATTGAAACCAGCAGTGTGGGGAGGTCCAGACCTCTGAATGAATAATTAATGTTTTGGGTAGAGGAACTGGAGAAAGAGTTGGATAATATGCTTTTCTCAAAATGTACTTTGTCCACAGAGAACTCTTTAATTAAAATGCATATTGAAAGGGACAGACATCCCTAAGATCAAGTTATCCAAGACTTTATTCTAGACGGGACTGGGCAGATAAAATAACTAAATCAGCACAGCCCCAGTGCCAAGAGATCCTGGGGGTTCCTCTGGCTAATTAAATGCAATGTTTTCGATAGAGAAATAGGAAAAGGAGATTGGTCTTTTGAGTCGAAAATGATACCCTTGAATTTGATTTGGAGTTGTTTACCTTTCCATCACCCGCCCACATGTGTCATTACCCAAAGTTTGTGCAACCATTGGTTTTGAATGGTATTAACAAGTGTAACTGATCCCCTATACTCCAGCTGAGTATATCCGCTGTAGTTCTCCCAAATCCCCAGTGAAGCAGTGATTATAGCTCCCAATTCCCCAAACATCAGCTTAGACTTGATGAAGGCTAGAAATCAAATGTGTTTAATCATGGCCAAATGGCCCACTTATATAAAAAACAAGGATGCAGTAAAACACGCCCAGAACACTCCCACAAAATGTCCACAACTTCCTGTGTCAGAGTGACTTGGCATAAAATAGCAAAATACATACAAAACAAATAGGAATCCCCACAAATTATATATGGTTAAATATCCCTGATCTGAGTGCCCAAGTTCTCTAAATAGCGCTCAGATCCATGTAGTCTAGTGGAAACGCCACCGTGTGGAAGTTCTTGCAGCTGCGATATGGGGTGCTCCGGCTGGCTCTCAGGTAGCGTTTGTTGCCTTTATTCTCAGGCACCTTCCCTCCAAAAAGTGCTCACCTGGCAGATTTCAAAGTGGTTTAAAACTGCAAACTAAGATGTCCAGGAACTGCACGGTCACCTCCTGCGTTCTGTTCCATTCGCATGAAGGGAAAATGCCGAACCAGGGCAAGCTACTAATGGCGGTTGGGGAGATTTAACTCCTGGACAAGGTCTTGGAATATGGTCCATAGTCCTGGGGCAGGAGGCAAGCTAGCAGGCTCCTCCAGGAGCTCATGGCAAACGTCCAGGGTAAGGAGCGTTTGTCACAACAAGCTTCTCTAGAAACCTCTTACAACAAAACTACATACAGATTACAATAGATAAATGGGCACCAACCAGTCATATAAGGACTGCAGAGCTACCAATAATGAAGAGGCTTGGCCAAGAATAATTGTAGCAAGTATGTCCTGGTAGTCAGCAGAAAAACTAGACCAGGAACTTGGGGACTTCTCAGCATTGCAGATTTTCCTTTTCTTTTTTTTTTTCTCTTTTTTTTTGTACAACTTTATCGAGAAAACATTGTTGTGTCCTGTAATGTTAAGACAGATAAAGGACAAGTCCCCAGCACAGACTGAGTCAAGGGCCGCGGAAAACAAAGGGATAAGGTCATCCATAATCTGTAGTGGAAAACTTGGCATCTCAGCGCAATGCCGAAACCTGTTCAGATTCAGGAGCTAGAAGGGCAAACGCATTTCCTTTCGTTGATGAAAATTTGACTTTAAATAACACTTCATAGACCAAATTTAATTTGACAAGAAAATCATGACCTGTTTCATAGTTTGCTTTTTAATTGAAATTGTGATTGAATTTCATTATAGTGTTTAAAAAAAGGTTATTAACAAGCAAAGTGCAGTGAACCATTGAAAGCTTTACCACTGTCAGCAAGTGTTTTGTTCTGGTTTTTTAATGCTTTCTTTTCTCTGATATCCGTATATATAATTATCCTATGAATTGGGGTGAAACAGCTTTTCAGATTAAAATCGGTCATACATATGCAGAGATTTTGAGAGATGTAGAAAAAAAAAAAAAAGCATTAATAGAAATCGGACTGTTGACAACTGATAAAATGTGTTTATTTTACTAACAGTTACCTGCTTGGGCCTGTACCTTTGAATCTCACCATTGTCCAGAGTACCGGACTAGCAACTTTAGATTTTACCTGGAATCTCCAATACAGGAGCCAGTATTGTTTGATTACTCCATGCTGGAAAACAGGCTATTGATGGACGACACCTACAAATCTACAGACCAAGTTTACCGTACAGAGAGATTGCAAGCTGAAAGCAAGGTTTGTACAAATACTAACATTTTAACCTTTGGTAATTGTAATGCATTTCGGAATTGTATTACTGTATAGTGATCTGTCTATCTGTCTGTTGTAGCTACTTGCTGTGTATATTGATTTTGCAATTTCTGCAAAGTTTTATTGTGCAATGATTGAAGGTTAAAGGGACACTACAGTTGTGGTTCTGGTGTCTATAGGCCTGGCAGACTTTTCAATGTAAACGCTGAATTTTCAGAGAAAAAAGCTGCAAAAAAGAAAAAGGTGAGTAAAATAACTTTTTCACTCCACCCTAAGGTGGTCTGGAGACATTAACAGCCGCTCCAGGACTAAAGTGTTAGGAATACATAATTGTATTCCTAACACTGTAGTGTTCCTTCATAGTGAATCTGTCTAGTGCACCTGTTTTGAACTGTAAAGATCATCTTACTTTAAAAGAGTTACTCCAAAACTTACTTTTAAATATTACATTTTTATGGATGTGTGCCCTATTGGGCACTTTTTGTTTTATGTTTTTTTTTTTTGTTGTTTTTTTAACTATCAATAAAAACATTGAAAACATACCTGGCTTTCAGAGCCAGGCCAAATCTTCCATGATCGTGTCCCCGTCTTCTTCATCGTCACTCTGCATTATCCTTTTCGTGTATGTGGCCCAGTGAATGTAAGCGGCAAGATTAACTACGTGACAGGTCATCTTATGGCTAAAGCATACTTTCTTCCCAGTCACTGAAGAAAGAGGGAGAGGCTGTATAGATTGCTACCACCATAACCACTTCTAGATGCAGAAGTGGTCAGAGTGGGTAGAGTTACTCTTCAAGTTCTTGCATTTGCTGCAAATCCTAAGGTTTTAAGCATATGCTCAGCCCAGACCAAGAAGTACATTGGATTAAGTGATTGGACAGCCATAGACCGTTTGAGTTGGGGAAGAACGTACGTCTTACAAAGGCTGCAGACAAGAGATCTGCAACACTTTCAAACTGTTTTTAGATATACACAAAAAATGCAGCAATAAGTGCATACATGTTTTCATTGGGGTCATATCTATTGTATTATTATTTTTATTTGGGCAGTGGAGAATCCCTTTAAACTGCTCCAACTGAAAATATCTGACATGTGGCTTTCTTTTTCTCAGGATGGCAACTTGGTGCCCATCACACTGTTTTATAAGTCATCTAATGAAGAATTCAGACACAAACCTCTTTTGATTCATGTCTATGGTGCTTATGGGATGGATTTAAACATGAGTTTCAAAGCCGAAAAACGAATGCTGGTTGAAGATGGTTGGTTACTGGCCTATTGCCACGTTAGGTATATCTGGGATATCTATGTGAAATTCAAATCAGTCCCACAATAATGAAAAAAAAAAACATTTTGTGTGTGTGTGTCTCTATTTGACTGCGCGTAAGGCTGTTATGCAAACACCTCACTGTTAAACCATTTTTGACTTAACAGCTTATCCCCTCCATATTGCTTTTGCTAACGAAAACAATAGGTGATGATGATTGGCTGAGAGTGTCAGCTGATCACTTTCAGCCTATCTCTACCCCCAATTGCTGGTATGAATTGGTATGGCTAAGGAAATGTCTCTCCCTTAAGCATACCTCAAGTATGGACTGGGCTCTGAGCAGTTAGGGATGATCAACCATTGTTAAACTGTTCACAAATGGAGGCAAAGGACACTATCACCAATTCAATGAGTTGTAATGGTTAAAGCTCCTACTGTGTCCCTTTAATAGTAGAATTTACCTCAATACAAATTACAAAATCTGCCATTTATTTGTTGTGATTATGATGTCCCATACTACACAGTGAGAAGATAATGCAAACTGTGTATTGAGATTTAGTTATTTCTCACTTTGCCCTGGGCAGGCTGGACTTGTTAATGAAACACAATAATTTATTTTTGACTTTAGATATCTGCCTTTTATGCAATTTATCCAATTGTTCTTTATGTTGCAGAGGTGGCGGTGAGTTAGGACGCAGCTGGCATAAAGAGGGCATTCTGGATAAAAAGCAGAATGGGCTTGACGACCTCTGTGCTTGTATTACACGTCTCCATGAAGGAGGTTTCTCTCAGTCTCGGTACACCGCAATAGAAGCATCCAGTGGGGGAGGAGCTCTGGCTGGGGCTCTGTATAACTCCAATCCAGAACTTTTTAAGGCAATGGTTCTAGAGGTAAAACACCTAATAATACAGAATACATTTAGGGATCTGCAATACATGTAATCGCATTTAAGAAGTAAATATAGTGGTCCTCATTTTACGAGCTACCCGGTTTACGACGGCTCGCACTTACGACCAGCTCTCTAGCGTGTAGGTAAATGCGAGCCGTTGTGTGGATTAGAAGGATTCCTTGCTCTGCTGCGTTCGGCTATGTTGGGGAAAATTTCCCCGAACATAGACAAGCGCCCCAGAGCTGGGAATCCCTCAGCTCCTCACTTACTGACCAATTATTTCTACGACCGGGTCGTAAGAACAGAACCCGGCCGGTAAGTGTGAAGTACCTGTAGTGCATACATGTGTATTGTCTCTTTCTTTTGTTTAAACATGCCTTTTGTAATATTTTCTAATAAAATTAGAAAAAAGTTATTCCAAGCAATCTTATTTCTTTGCATCAGAAAATTAATTTCTAGTTCTATTTAATTATGTTTTTTCTTAGTTCCATACCCTCATTACTGTCTAAACATAAATGTTTTTGCTTCAGGTACTGCAGGCAGTCTAAAAATAATAATAATAATTAGCACCCACTGCTTAAACCCTCGTCTTTTATCTTACAACACCCAAGGTGTAATGTTAGTGTTATCTGACCGCCAGTGCGACGGGATAGAGGCGCTGAATGTTCCTCCTAGAGGTGCATTGATTCAATGTATCTCTGTGAGGAGATGCTGAGTTGTGTAGCACGTTGTTTTGTCACGCATGTGCAATAGACTCCCAGTTCCTTTTCATTGGTTTAGTTCAGACCTGCACAACTTGGCAGTAGGAAGGGGCCAAAACTAAAATAGGTTAAACTTCTTTGGGTCGCAGATAGGCTTTTAGTGCCTCACTTTCCAAATAAAGGTATACAATCGCATAAAAAATTAAGATACACACACTGACAGACGTACAGATACACAGACACATGGACAGACATAAAGATACACACCACACATGGACAGACATACAGATACAGTACACACACTGATAGACATACAAATACACACACAGACACACACTTGCATACATACACACCCACACACAGATTCATACATACTGACAAGAAGACAGACATACAGATACACACACACATAGACATACAGATACACACACAGACATACAGATACACACACACACAGACATACAGACACACACACAGACCTACATATACACACACACACACAGACCTACATTTACACACACACAGACCTACAAATACACACACACAGACATACAGATTCACACTGACAGACATACAGATACATACTGACAGACATACAGATACACACATCACATGAACAGACCTACAGATACACACAAACTGACAACCCTACGAATACACACTGATTGAAAGACATACAGATACACACTGGCAGACATACAGACAAACATACAGATTTATACATACTGACAGACAGAAATACATACATATACACATTTAAGAAAAAAGGATTTCTAGCTCTTCCGATAAGGTTAGTAGGCAGCTAGGACAATCCAAGCCAGAGTCTCTTCTTTCTGGTAGTAGGTAAGATGCAAGATGAAGAAAGAGGGTCGCAGCACCTTGTGATTGTCTTCTGATCCAGATGGTGCTCAGTGTATGTAAAAAGCAGGAGACACAATATAGTGTAGTAGGTACTTATACTTGGTGAAGAAATTAAGTGCATTTCTATGTTGCCTGTGGAGTAGCTATAACAGAGTATGTTGTGTCTTTATTAGTTAAATATAACAGTTAAGGTATATACATAATATTCTGTTTTGCAGGCTCCATTTCTGGATATACTGAACACAATGATGAACACATCATTACCACTGACAATCGAAGAACAGGAAGAATGGGGTGATCCAGTGTCTGACCACAAATACAGAGAATATATAAGAACGTACTGCCCTTACCAGAATATTAAGCCACAGGTAGAAAGATGTGATACTTTCTGGACAATTCAATTCAAATTTGAATGAAAGAAAGAATGTAGTTCCAATTACAAATACAGGTGGTCTTCGTTTTGCGACCTACCTGTTTTACGACGGCTCGCACTTAAGACCAGCTGGGCGGTAAGTCTAAGCCGTCATGGTAATTTAAGGGATTCCCTGATCTGCTGCGTTTGTCTATGTTTGGGGACATTTCCCTGAACATAGACGAATGCAACAGAGCAGGGAATCCCTCTAATCTATGTTCGGGGAAATTTCCCCGAGCATAGATTAGAGGGATTCCCTGCTCTTGTGCGTTCGTCTATGCTCAAGGAAATGTCCCTGAACATAGACAAGCGCACCATAGCAGGGAATCCCTTAACTCCTCACTTACCAACCAATTTGTTCTACGACCGGGTCGGTACCTGGTCGGTAAGTGAGGAGTACCTGTATGCACGTGTGAATACTTAAAGGGACAATATAAGCACCAAAACAGCGTTTAGCTTACTGGAGTGGCCTGGATACCCATGCAGTCTTACTACTCAATTCTCTGTCATTTAAGCGTTAAATCACAATTTTACTTGTCCACTTAAAAGTATTTTGATTTTATAAATATATAGTCTTTGTTAGTTCAGGAAGTTTAGTGGTTACTGTTTTTGGGAGCTCCTTTGGTATCTAGAACAATTGTTTTATTTTGTCTTTCAGAATTACCCTTCAGTACTAATTACAGCATATGAAAATGACCTGCGCGTTCCACTCCTGGGATTAATAAGGTACATGAAGAAGCTTAGGGAAGCAGTTGACAGCTACTGCAAATACACAAATGATCCAGGTATTATTGTTTTAAATTATATCTTGTCTCTTCACAATGTTTATGCCTTTTTCTTTCTGATATTGGTTTACTGTTGCTGTAAAGAATTTTGATGTACTTATTTTTTTTCTTGTAATAAAGAAATATGCTCATGGAAGTTAAAATTGTGGTAACTTGGAAGAAGGTCTCCAGCGATATATTTTACAATACAACTTAATGATTATCCATTAATATTTAGTAGAAAATGACCTTTTATCAAGGCATAATACAGTGCAGGCCAGCCAGGCAGCAAATAATGGCTGAACTAGACAACTGTTATAGCAATCTATTTAAAGACCCCATGCCCAGTTGTAAATGCCACACTTAGGTAACACACGCATATAGTGGGTAAATCACCTCTCCAGATCCTTTGGGATATACGTAGGGTGGACAGAGGAGCAGGTGCAGGGCGAATGCAGCAACAGGCTGGATGTTGTGAATTCTTACCAGTGCAGCTAAAATGGTGCAATAAAGACAAGAGCCTCAAGATAGTAATCCTTTAACGGCCAAAAAACCTGGCAGTACATAGCTGGAAATCTCAAAAAGTTCAGCCCATTTCTCTATCCTTCTTGCCTGCTTTTTGATCAAGCACTCTTGGGGTAAAAATTCCCTTGACAGGTGACCTTGATTGAAGTAGACCATAATTACTCTTGCAGTACCCCAGGTTCAGCCACCTCCGGAAGAGGAAAAACCGTAGCTGAGTGATTTCTCACGGAGGAGCAGGAAGTGGTTCAATTTTTTTTTTTTGGTTTAATTCTACCTTGTCATTTGGGAAAAGGAATATCCCTAAAGCAGCAACCTATTTTGGCCTAGGTGTAAGGTGGCACAACAGATAGGGTCAACAGGACATAGACTTTTCTCCTAAGTAGAAAGTTGTTTCTTCTCCAAGCCACCTGCTTAATCAGATCCAGACATCACCAGTACAGGCAGCAGATGAGGTAATATTGCGGCACTCATTGCATTTTAGAATGTCACCTGGATAAACTGGAGTCTGTGCAAGCAATCTGCACAGCTCCTCTACTTTTCCACCACTAGGCACCAGGGACTGTTTGCCATAACTCCAGCCTCCTCTCCAGCGCCCAGTGCCATCATAAAGGTTAACTGCAGGGGAAAGAGAGGGAGTTTTAAATGTATGTAACTGTGTGTATGCATGGAAATGTATGTGTGTATGTGTATGTAACTGTATGCATGTGTGTGTGATTACACATTTACATATGAATGTGAGTGCATGTTTTTGTATGTATGAATGTTACTAGGTGAATGACTAGTTATACATGTATGGACAGAAAGAGGTAGATAATCTTGACTGGCCTAGGCAGCCACAAACATTAAATATACAGCTGTCTACAAGTAACGGACCCAGACTTTCCCAAAGTCTTGGACCGTGACCAAATTAAGAAGAAAAAATGTCTTAACCCAGTCTAAAATTTTATTCTCATATTTAAATATAATATGGATAGGACAATACAGGTCATATGCAAAGACAACACTCTGTTCTTAGAATGAACTTTCATTGTTTCCTTTTATTCTGCATATCTCAGTACTGCTGACTTTTCTTATTTATTTTTTTTGTATGTGTTCTCTTTAGGACCATTTGTCCTCACACACAGAATAACTTTAGATTCAGAACTGCCTTGAACATTGGGCAGATTTATTTGCTAAACGTTACACTAATTAATTGCAAATGGAAAAATTGACAAGAAAACAGATCCCGAAATATTCTCTACCGCAACGATAGTCACAACTTTTTGCCTCAAATTTAACTTGTGAAAGTTGTGAGTTTAGCGAATAACCCCTAAATGCTTCCCTCTCTGCACCCCACCCCCCATTGTGTGTGCATTTATGTGATGTTTGCCAGCTGTGTGTAATGTGTGTGTGATGTTCGCTTTCTGTATGTTGTGTGATGTTTGCTTGTTGTGTGGTTTGTGCTATTTATTTATATTCTGTGTTTTGTCCCCTCCAGCTTATCTTTTTGCAGTTCATTGGGGGTTAAAAAGTCCCTGGTGCTCCAGTGTGGGAGCTTGTGGTCGGAACCTCTGGGGGTTGCAGACCATTGAAATCTCTCCCTCACTGTCAGGCACTCACGAAGTCGGAGTGCATGCTTGGAATCCCAGAAGCTGTGCTCTGACTCCTTAGTGAGTACTGAAGGCAATTTACTATGGTCTGCACCCACCAAAGGGTGAAGACCACACGCTTCCTGTACCAGCACTACCTTCCCCCCCATGTCTCTTCTAACAGCCCAGCTACCTGCCCAGTGCCTGGAACTAAATGTTCTCGGTTTTTGGCGGTAGGAGTTCCGCACCCCTATGATTTCATGGATATATTTAGCTTTAAAAAACTCTAAGCAGAAAAATAATGGCCATTGACCATCCTATTGTATAGAAAGTATACATAAACATAGATTGAGATTATATATAAGATCCAATCTGACCATCATCAAATCTCCATATTTTATTTGTTTACTCTTCAGGATTGCTTTACGAATTTTGTGAATATTCTTTAATTCCTTTATTGTGTTTTCATTCCACATCTAATGGAAAGCTAATCCAACTATTGTACATTTCCCAGCATTATTGTCTTTTGTTTATGGTAAATATTTGTTTGAAAAGCTGGTGGCTGCAGAGAACCATAAAAGGATGGTAATGCAGAATATTTATTTATTTTCAGTGAATAAAAGGCCCACTATATTGCTTGATCTTCAGCCTGGTGGTAGTCATTGTGACTCATTGTGTTGGGAGGAATCACTGCAGAAGGTATGCTAAGGGGTAACATTCACTTTGTATCAGCAATAGTTATCAGTAGGTTAATAACTGCTGGAACTATATTCAATGTAATGGACAATAATGTTTTGAATGTTACCAAGTCATGCACAATGTTACAATTATGATCAAATGAAAGGTTGGAGAATCTTAAAAATATTTACAAATAGTTATGTATGGGTGTGCTCCTAGATATCCCCTGATTTTACCCTCATGGATGGGTAGGAGAGAGGTCCCTCTAGGTCTAAGTAAGAGAAACTTTATTTCCTAGTTTAAATACCCTAACCACTACAATGCACTCTAGTGGTTGTATTGCAAGGAGTCTCTAGGCTCTATCAGAAGGGAGTCTGTCACATTGTTCAGTGTGTAAATGCCTGTTGGCTTTGCATCCTCTATAATGAGCTCTGCCCAGAACAGTAAGTGATCATATGATCAGTCAGCGATCAGTCATTATGTATGACTAAATGCATGCCAGACTGACTGTGACAGCTTGTCTGGCTGGCCCTACTTTTGGCAGTATATGTGCAGAATGCTCTGGGCATGGGCTTAATGCCCTCATTTTACATAGTACAAACACACCTTCTGAGACCTAATAAAATGTGAGGCGCTTCTTCCTAAAGTGCTAAATAAATGGTGCAAAAGTGTAGATCAGCAGCAGACACTCCACATAAACAGATGTGCTTAAATCAGAAAAGAAAACCACAAATAGTGTTGCACTACTTGATATTTTTAAAGTGCATCATAATCAGTGTTACAATTGATCAAATCAAGTATAACACCATTGCGGACCCCTTGGTTCTCTTTTATGTTTCATTGCTGCAGCATATTTATCTTAAATGAGCATGTGGGGTGTTTACCCCTCTCCCTACAAGCAATATTTACCCAGAACCAGGGAATAGGCTCTGGTAAATGTGAGTTATCCTTTTGGGGGATTAGTAGTGGTATTTTAATTATACAATACACACTATGTTTATTTTTAGGATATTAACATCTGTGATACCATTGTATGTAGTATTGATTATTTAATATACACTAGTGTATAAACTTGACTTGATACAGTTTACCCTGGATTAGGATGCACTTTATCAGTAAGCACAACACTATGTGAGACATCTTTTGAGACACTTGCACTATACTAATTCTAGACAATCCGTGGGATCTAAGTCCCTCGGAACCTAGGAATGTTGGGAGGTATGCAGCAGACGTTTATGGGAGCTTCCTTTCATTTGTACTATGTAACGGACGGTTTTGCACACAAGAGGTTAAAAACCGTTTAGGCGATATTCCCCTTTCCAGATGCACCGACGGCTACTGTAAGCACGAATACTGGAAACAGCCGAACAGGAAAATCCTACAATCCGCTTACACTCCTGGCAATCAGCATACAATCCAATTCCCCCAATAACGAGACGACACTTCGTTTTGAGGTCAATCAGAACTGGTTTACTGGGGCTAACTGCCTGGCTTTTATGCAGGTCTCCCACCTGGTGGACACTCCCCTAGGGGACCAGATGGGAAACTGGGAAACATATTGGACATTAACCAATCACAAGCTTACAATCCCACAATGCATCACAATCCCTACTCTCTGTCCTGGAGATAATTGGGAAGTAATCCAGTTATCTCCAAGGACAGAGGCAAAACTCCATTAACCACATGGTTACAATAAAACACTAAAATACAATAAAATACATAATGTTACATTTGTCACATAAAATATATACATTCTATATATCCCCAGATAGCTTAGATCTGAGCGCACATTACTACCGAATGGCGCTCAGATCACATACATACAGTTCAATCGCTACGGAGCCAAAGTCTTTCCCATAGTCTTTCGTTACACGAATAGGCTCCATGGCATGGCTATCTGGGGTCAAACTACCGAATGAACAGTGATTCGGTTCCACTACCGAATGCAGAGGTAAGGAGGCTGGCGGCTCAGCTGTGTTCGCGCAAATAAGTGTCCGTTTTCAGTTCCATAGTTTGGGCGCTGAACACCGCTGGCCGTTCGGGAGTTAAAATGGCCGCTGCCACGTGTTCGGCAAACGAACAAAGGCCACCCAGCGTTCATCAATTAAGCTGCGTTTAACCTCATCTTCTGGGCTGTCAATTGACGGCACACTCCAGTTCCCAGGTGGTCCGTCGTTTGTTACTTTGTTCGGTAGATTTAATCTACCGAACACCCCGGCAGAAAGGCACGAATAAACCTTTCAGCAGGGAAGATAACCGGTTTTAACTGCAGGGCCATAATTTAAAGGGAGCAGGCGAGCAACCAGGCTTCTCCAGTGCACAGTGGTGAGGCTGGTTCCGCCACATACTACAACCATAAAATGATGGTCAGTGTCTCACAAGAATACAGGTAAGTGATGACATCATGTACAATTGTGTTCTAAGGGGGAAAAAGGGAAATTGTGCTGGTTCCAAGCAAAATTCAATTTTTTGCTTTGAGTTAAGTTAGAATTTGGTAATCACACAGTAACCCGTGTAGGTGTGATTTATAGGCCCACAGGACAAATAGAAGAGTTAGATTATCTACTAGTTGAGGACATAGCTAAAATGGCAATAAAGAGGGAAGTTATCATCATGGGTGACTTTAATCTTCCTGATGTGAATTGGAAAACCAAAATAGCTGCTTGTATCCGATACCAATTCCTACCCCAACGAAGACACTAAACGTCTCAGGTAGATAGAAAGATCCCTAGTCGGCATAACTGACAACATCCCACAACCCTAAATCCTTCAGTAGCATAACGTGCCCATCCCGGTTACACCCTTGAGCCCTCTACGCTACGGGTCAAATGCATCCCTGAAAATGCGCAAAAAAGGAAAAATCTAAAAACACTAGATGAAAGACCAGCGTTACCGAATAATTCTGTATGGCTAGCTCGATGTGTACTACCGTTAAATTACATTCATCTTATGTAATCCAATTTCGCAATGTTCTAAAACCTTGCTATACTATTATTGGCTTCTGCACAAACTTGGTCATACTTTCCTTGTTAACGCTTTTTGTCAAACAAAATTAAAGAATTCCAAAATAGCTGCTTGTGCCAGGAGCACACATATTCTAAACTCCCTACTGGGATTGTCTCTAAAACAAGTCGTTGAGGAGCAAACTCGCAAGGAGGCCATACTAGATTGTGTTAACAAATGGAGATTTGGTATCAGATATTACTGTAGGTGAAAGTTTAGGATCCAGTGATCATTAGTCAGTGTGGTTTAATATAAGAACAGTGACTGAGTCACACCACACAAAAACAATAGTTTTAGACATGTGTAAAGGAGTCATTATCAGACTGGAGCAATTTAAATTGCGTCGATGAGAAATGGGATTATTTAAAAGTTGCACTGCTGAAGGCAACAGAAAATGGCATTAGGCTTGTCCATAAAAGCAAGAAATTCAAGAAACCACTCTGGTACTCTGCAGATGTGGCCAAAATTGTAAAAAACTAAAAGTTAGCATTTAGTAATTATAAAAAACCCAGAGTGAGGAAGACAGAATGATCTATAAGATCAGGGAGAAAGAGGATAAGCAAGTTATAAGAGCTTCCAAATCACACATAGAAGAGAAAATAGCACAATCAGTAAAAAAAGGGACAAAACATTTTTTAGATACTTAAATGAGAAAAGGAAAGTAAAACAAGGATTAGTTAGATTAAAAACAAAAGAAGGGAGGTATGTAGAAGAGGATAAAGGTCTAGCTGACTGCCTCAATTAATATTTTTGTTCAGTATGTACAGATGAAAATGAAGGAAAGGGGCCTCCGTTAGGAAAAAGGACAAATTAGTAATTCGTTACATGTGAGTTTACAGAGGAAGAGGTTCTATTTCAACTGTCAAAAGTAAAGACAAATTGGGGGGCGTGGTCTGCGGTAGGAGCGAGCTGGACGCATCCGTGTGAAGCTCCACCGGGACCGCTGGACCAACAGCTGATAAAAGCAGCAGATCGAAATTAAATAGCTAAATACCTGCGGGGTAACCTGAGATGGAGAAAAGGGCCCCAAAAAAGCAGGCGAAAAAACAACCGGAACAGGGCGCAACGGTGTCGGATATCTTCGTGGCCTCCCTCGCTATGAGAAACACCACCCAAGATGGCGGACTGGAGAGCACTGGAGGGCCTCGATCTCCCTCTAGCCCGGGATCTAGCGTTACACCTGGACCCCAGGAGACGGACGCCAAGCAGATACTGGCGACCTTGGCGGGGGTGAGAACTCACCTGGCAACGGAAATAGCCAGGAATACCGCCGAAGTCAAGGTAGAGATATATGCGTTGGGGACCAGAATGGCGGTCCTCGAACAACGAGTGGAGTCCACGGTGGAAGCCCATAACGCGGCCACTGCACAAATTAACCTATTAACATCCACAACCGCTCACGACGTAACAACATCAGGTTGCAGGGTCTGCCTGAACATGAGGGGGAAGGCTCCCTGATTGAGGTGGTCTCCTCCATATTTAAACCGCTCCTCCCAAACATACCAGAGAGCCACTGGCACATCGAGAGAGCATACCGGGCGCTGCGTGCCCGACGGGCAAACGATAACAGGCCTAGAGATGTCATCATCAAGTTCCAATTTTTCCAAACGAAGGAAGCATTGATGCGGCGCGGAAGGGAGGGCCCAATTATGTACAGAGGAGCTGAACTAGCCTTGATAAATTGTCTCTTTCAAAACGTTTGTTTGATTTGTTGTTGTTTTTTTCCTAAATGTATATGTTGTTCATGGTTTAGCGTATGGAGAGCGCAACACCCGGACGATAGTGATTTTACATTTTACTCAGCCCCCCACGATACCTATTCGAGAATAGATCTGTTTTTGGTTAGCCCCTCATCAGTACCCAAAGTATCGGAATCGACTGTAGGCTCCATCACTTGGTCAGACGACGCAGACATTTCCCTAACCCTGGATAAACTAAGTGCGGCGTCCCCCTGGTCCTGGAAATTAATTACGTCTCTGCTCCATGATCCGGCGATTGTCGACATGGTGCGGAAGGAACTAACTGACTATTTTGCCAGAGAAGCCGACTGAGACCTGTCGAAGGTGATGGTGTGGTCAGCTCATAAAGCAGTGATCAGGGGCGTATTAATTCGTGAAGCAACACTAAAGAAAAAACGTAAAACCCTCTTGGATTTAGGGGTGATTATTTCTAATGACTTAAAGATAGGCAGACAATGTAATAGATCAGCAGGAAATGCTAGCAGAATGCTTGGTTGTATAGGGAGAGGTATTAGCAGTAGAAAGAGGGAAGTGCTCATTCCATTGTACAGAACACTGGTGAGACCTCACTTGGAGTATTGTACGCAGTACTGGTGACCGTATCTTCAGAAGGATATTGATACTTTAGAGAGAGTTCAGAGAAGGGCTACTAAACTGGTTCATGGATTGCAGGATAAAACTTACAAGGAAAGGTTAAAGGAACTTAACATGTATAGCTTGGAAGAAAGACGAGACGGGGGGGCAATATAATATAAACATTTAAATACATAAAGAGAATCAACACAGTAAAGGAGGAGACTATATTTAAAAGAAGAAAAACTACCACAACAAGAGGATATAGTCTTAAATTAGAGGGGCAAATGTTTAAAAATAATATCCGGAAGTATTACTTTACTGAGAGGTAGTGGATGCATGGGATAGGCATAAGGCTATCCTAACTATAAGATAAGGCCAGGGACTAATGAAAGTATTTTTAAAAAATTGGGCAGACAAGATGGGCCGAATGGTTCTTATCTGTCGTCACATTCTATGTTTCTATGTTTTTATTAATGTATTTATTTTAGTTTAATTTAGAAAAAAAGAATTATTATCAGAACTGTTGTCTCTCATTGACATTGTGATCAATATTTGGGAAGAATGTGTCTTTAACGTGCACCTGTTTGGTTTTTTGGGGGGTTTTCTTTTTTTAGGTGGCAGTACATCTTGCTTTTTTATACAAAGAGCTTAAGATTGATGACAGAACATTTGTAAACAGGAAATGTTGAAGTGACTGAGCCGCTTAAACAGCTCTGATTTCCAAAATGGTAAAACACGATCCACTGACATCGACAGGAGTCTCTCAGTCCACTGTAACTTTATTGCCTTGTGTAAATGTTACAACACAAACTGCTGTTTTATTTTTTACTTTATTTTCCAAATGAAGGATTTTTTATTTGTCGGTCCATAGTATAGCAGCAAATCCATTGCAGTTGTGTAATTATGTAAATTCCAATTCTTTTCAAATAATATAGACTATACTGCAAGTATATTGTGTATATAATTAAAAAATATGACAATTTGTATTTTTGTTTTGCTTATGTTTTCTACTTTATTTTATTATTATTATGATTACTAATTTAATTTATAAATCTTTTTCAACATATCCCACTCACCTTTATTTTGAATCACACTCTAGAAATGATGGGAATTGCCAAAGATAATACTGATGACTGACTAGATCTTTTACTGAATCCTTAAAATATATCTTCTCAAAAAGAAACGGAGTAAATCCGTGCAGTGTTAATGCATTTCAGTTGGTAGATGAACGGATCCTTATTCAGGCAGCTGCAGAAAAGCGTATATGGGCCAGCTTATATTTTCAGAACCAGATTCTGTTCTCTTGTGCAAATTTCTTGCAGTGTAACCTGTTGGGGTAAATCCTAACCTAGAGATTGCGATACCAAGTTATTTCTCCACAACTCAACTCAAATACTTAGCTCCGCAATGTCCTGAGCTCGATATTTGTATTCCTCGTTATCTCGAACAATAAATCGGAAGCAAACATTTGTTTACCATATCATTGATTTTTGTATGATAATTTTTTTCCCAAGTATCCATTCTTAAGAAAACAAAGATATTCAATGAAATGACAAAACACATTATTTTTTTGTCTTTATTTTTATAAATGTAATTTGATGCGAAGATATATATTTCATTCATTTGGTTTTCAAGATGCCCATAATCATTGTTTCTTCAATAATGTTTCTATAGCTTTAAAAAAAATATGTAGCCCTTTCGAGGTGCATTTAAATAAGATTTTGCACACAGCAGGTATTGTAAGAGTAGCTGTATTGCCTAAAGTTCCATGCACTCAAGATCAAATGCAGTAAGATCTCCCCTGCTTAGTTAGTGGTTATGGAGTTGAAATATCTGCAATGTAATTTGGCTCTTCCCCATTAGATCATGTGTTGGTGCAAGTCTCATATGATAGCATTAACCCATTAACTAGCACACGTTTTCTGAGTATTTTTGCTGGCTTAGAGGCGAAGCCATAAATATATAGTCTGTCTATGTTTGTAAAACATTATCACAGAAATTGTTGGGTTTTTTTGTGTTTTTTTTTTACTTGCTTTGAATCACTTTATTACAAGACTAAAGACGTTTAGCAGTTTTTATAAAGCAAATTGAAGGCACTGGAATAACATGCCTTTTCTGATATAAAGCACTGATCCTTAAAACTATCCATCAGATGCAGATGTTTGCTTGTTCTGTATTCCAATATTATGCCTTCACCTTGTTGTGTTTGAATGCTATCTGTATTTATTGATTTCCCGCTATTAGCAGGTAATGTACTTAATCTAATTTTTGCTTGTTTTGGAATGTTTTGGATCTTTTCTTGTATGTTTATGGTTGATCCCCTCCCAAAGTTGAGGACTATCATAAACACTTTATTTAAACCGTCCATTTCCCTCACGTAGGCAAACACATTCTCGTCTGTCCACACATAACAGAGCCACCCTCTGTGAATTGGTAACTCCTTTTTCCGCAGCATATTTATCTCCCGGTATAAATTTAGCGTTGAATCTGGTTTGGTCATTTGAATCTGTTTTTAAAACAAAAATACATGTATTTATTTAATGAGACAAAAGAAATGGTTTTTCACTGACGTAAATGAATATTAATATATTGAAAAATATATTTTGTGTATATAGAGTTTTTCATATGTAAACAGGATGTCGCCTCCTCTATCCTTGAAAGCAGTGGTGCTTATAAGTTGTAAAACAACAACCAATTTCTTTTGATTTTTCTAGAAGTAATGGAGCCTCTAAACAACTGGCTACAGTAATTCAAATGTCAAAAATGCAAAAAACTTTTTTCTTTTTGTTTGCTTTCTAGAGGTGTGCAGTGAGTTTCAGTTTCTCTGAAACTGCTATGTTTACAGCAGGCAGGGTTAAAACTAGAGGGACCTGGCACCCAGACCACTTCATTAAGCTGAAGTGGTCTAGGTGACTATAGTGGTCTTTTAAGCAATGTAAGAGGGAGTGTAGACACAATATCTACTACATGCCATTAGGCTGTTGGCGGTGTTCCCTTGTTCTTGGTGAAACTGCTGAGACAGCTATCTCCTACGTACGGCAGCCTTGCTTCCACTCACCAAAATTGCTATTGCGGAACTTCTGCAGCATTATCTGGATCAATGTTGTCCATATTTTAAAGCCATTCACTGACTAAACACTTCAGCTGACACAACCAATAATTAGCTGTAAGGTCTGGATGAAATTAAAGTGGAACTTACACGTTGGCAAAAGGGAAGCAGAGAGTTTGGCCACGGTGCCTTAGGGACCCCTGGCATGTGTAGTACTTGTGGTGTCTTGACTGACTTTATAATGTGGTTTTTCTTTCTTTTTTTTTTTTCTTTCTTTTTTTTTTTTTTTTTTT